CCAGCACTTCACCTTGTGATGTCACTGTGTTTTTTAACTCCACACACCTTCTCTAGAATCATTTAGATAATTTCAACCCTGGAATTACCAATCTTTACTTAACTAAAGGTAAAAGGTTTGTTTGTTTTCTATTTTGTGTTTAAATGAAGAATGGAAAAAATGGATAACGGCCGTTTCCCGTTTACGTGACTTCCGTGACTGCGATGCCAGACTGAACCAGGACTGATCCAGGTCCAGGACCAGAGCAGGACCAGAGCGGGACCATGCGGACTCCGAGCTTTGACTCTGAGCCTCCGCGGGGTCCGAGCCTCAGCTTCGAGCTCCGGCCCTGCAGTGGGCTTTGAGCCTCCGGTCTGGTCCCGGTCTGGTCCCGGACCTGGATCAGTCCTGGTTCAGTCTGTAACTGAAACCGTTATCCATTTTTTTCCATTCTTAATTTAAACACAAAATCGAAAACTGAAAAAACAAATCATTATCTGTTTGTTTTTTTTCATTTTGGCTTTGGAGACAAATAACAAAGAAAACAGTTGTTTTTTTCTTGTTTTCTTATTTTAGGTTTTATATTGAAAAACCAATGGACGAATGATAGACCCCGGAAGTTGTAGACCGCACACTAGCCAGTCAGAAGAGCTGTGAAGCCATGACGTCAAACTCAAGAGCCTGTCTGGGTCCCTTTTGTGGTACAGCACAACAGTAAACAAAATGGTCAGATGGATGTAGACGAAGACAGACATTCTGTGTTGGGAACGATTCCCAAACAAAGAGCATGTTTGGTGAATTTTATCAAGCGGAAAGTCGTTATTGCCCTTCTTCCTACAAGATTTGGGAAAAGCTTAATATATCAGTTATCCCCGTTAGTGGCGCATTACATACCTCACCACCAAATAGCAGCAATTGGTTAAAAAAAAAAAAGTACCCGCCTACTGTCAAGCGAACAAATCCTAATGCTGCGAGGTCAGACGGTTTCCAAGAAGTGAGACCGGCTGATGAATCAAGCTGTTAACTTGAAAACTATGCTTCATGACATCCCAAGGTAGAGCATTTTGAGCTTTGGAGATGTAGACAGAATAAAAATGAAGGGTTACTTAAACATGTGTGAATGAAACAAAACACAACTCCAGGTCTGTTTTTGAGGAGGTAACAACATTATAACATCGCTGAAAGCTCACGAGGATCAGGTTTGCGTTATGTAGGACTTTTAACTACTTGCCTCAAATTTTAGTGGTGAGTGATATGGAAAGAAAAAAATCTGATTTTTTTATACAGGCTAGATTACAATGTAGATTTTCCTATAAAGCAGAACTAAACCAGGACAAAACATGATTTGAATACGACAAAGGCCCAAACAAAACACTTCACCTAGAATGAACCGGTTTCTCCAGACTAATCCTTATGTAAACTTGGTTCAGTCCTGTTTGGTCCTCTTACATTTTGGCCTCAGTTTTGATTAGATGTGCAAGTAAGTGAACACACCCATAACAAACCGGTATCTTAAAGTATAATGTCTGTAGCTCCCTGTGTTCAGGCAGCGTGTGATTATAGAGCTGGAGCCTCTTAAATAGCAGTGATGCCCGGACACTAATAATAGAATCTGATGCAGCTGTATTGTTATGGGCAGAGTCTGGGTGTGGACTCAAGCAACCTGTCTCTACATTATTTAGTCTTCTATTTAGGCTTTTTGTTGTATTTAAACCACAAAGAAATAAGTTCTTTAATTCCATATGACTTATAATAATAATAATAGTCGTGCTAAGTTTTGTATTGTAGGGATGTAACAATATCCAAATCTCTCGGTACAATATTATCACAATATGCATCTCACAGTACGATATTTATTGTGATATTTTGGAGAGGCTGATATAATTGTAAATAGAATGCTTTTTTGGTTTTTAAAATACCCTGAAAAGATTTTGGTATAAATTATTTCCGTCATAATCCCAAGAATTCAAGTAAAAAACATATTTCTTCATGTTGTCTGCACTGAAATGAATCATGGGCAATATCGGGAGTAACGCGTTATAAAAGTAACGAATTACTGTACTGCACTGTAACGCAGTAATGTTACGACATTACAGGGAAAAAAATGGTAATATTTTACTCGGTACAAATGTCAGTATCGTGCGTCACAATGCATTTTTAACCTGGATTGAAGTGGTGAATTTTTCTTTTTTCTTTATATAAATTTGCTAATATCACAGCAATATCAGCAGCGGTAAAATGCTATTGTTACAGTTCCGAATGTCTGGATGGGCCCAGAGGTGCGCCCACGTAGACCATCAGGTAACCCCGGGCAAAAGGACTAGCACAGAGCTCCACGACCCACAGCAGCGATCGTGCTTTGCAGACGCCCTGCTCCACGGGCTCGGGGTTGTTTCAGGGGCAGTCCTTGATTTCAAGTCCTAGTTCAAGATTAGTCCTGGTTTAGACCTGGTTTAGTTCTGGTTCAGCTCTGGTTTACTCCTACTTTATTCCTGGTTTAGACCTGGTTCAGTCCTGGTTCAGTACTCATTTAGACCTTGTTTAGTCCTGGTTCAGACCTGGATTAGTCCTGATTCAGTCCATATACGGCTCAAAAGTTCTGCATTTTCGCACGTTGATTGTTATTTGACGATCGGCCACAGTTGTTTTGGTGAGAGTAACTTAAAGTGCTGCAATAGTCGTGTAATGTCTTATATTTTAAATGCAGTAATATTGTAAAGTAATGATTACTTTGAAATGACAGTAACAAGTCATAAATAACACATTACAGTTTTGAAGTAACTTGCCCAACAGTGATCGTGGGATATGTAGTTCCCAATTTTTATTAGCTATTGGTAACATAAAACCATGAATTTAAGCAAAGGATTTTGTAGTTCAACATATTGTGACAGCCCACTGTATTATTGTGAGACTTTTGATGATATCACAATATTTCAGTTATTGTTACATCCCTTTTATCAATTGTACATGGTGAGCTAATTTGTAATTTGTCATATACTGTGTTTTGAACTACGTAAATTCTGTGGGCCAGTGTGAGTACTATTAGATGTTTTTTTTTGGATTTTTTTTAAGTTGCAGGTTTGGTTCTGGTTTGATCAATCCAGATGTAGACTTAATTTGGTCCTGTTCTAGTCCTGGTTTAGTTCATGGTTTACAGCAGTCTCACAACTTGATGTTGATGTAAGTATGGATGTGTGAAGTCATATGGCAGTAATCTGCCTTCCTATATTACACAAAATTGACACTTGTGAGCTTTAAGCCATGTTAGAACATTGTTACCTCCTCAAAAACAGACCTGGAGTTGTATGAAAAAATTGAAAACAGATAATGATTTGTTTTTTTCAGGTTTTGATTTTATGTTTAAATGAATAATGGAAAAAAATGGATAATGCCGTTTCCGTTTCTGTGACTTTCGCGCCGCATACAGACTGAACCAGGACTGAACCAGGACTGAACCAGGACTGAACCAGGACTGAACCAGGACTGAGTGTCGGGACACCCGGAGGTGCACCCGCGTAGACTGACGGGTGATCAGGATTGATACAAGTACCAGACCAAACCGGGACTGAGGCTGGGACTGAGACTGAGACTGAGACCAGACCAGGACTGACATCAGGCCCAGACTGGGACTGAGACCAGGAGTGAGACCAGGACCAGACCAGGACTAGGACCAGGACTGAGACCGGGCCCAGACCGGGACTGAGACTGGGACCAGGACCAGACCGGGACCAGACCGGGACTGAGACCAAGACCTGGTTTAGTCCTGGTCTCAGTCCTGATCACCCGAGAGCCTATGCGGGCTCCCCTCCCATTTAAACCCAAAATCAAAAACTGAAAAAACTAATTGTTATCCATTTTTTAATTTTGGTTTTGGAGACAAATAATGAAGAAAATAGTTGTTTTTTTCATTTTCTTATTTTTGGTTTTATTTTTGAAAAATGAATGAACGAATGATTCTTTAAAGTACGTATATGATTTTAATGGAATTGTCATTATTATCAGATCAACTACAGAATAAACAGTTTTCTTGTGATATGTGATACAAGAAATATTTTACAGCCATATTGCAGTATTTTTAATTGTAAGCAGCATATTTTTTCGAGTTGTTTTTCACACACGCATTGTTCTATTATAGACCCTTACCCCGATAGTGAAAGATGACTTCACCCACAGCCTTCAAACAGGTTTATTCTTACCCCCCAGTGCTCTGTAGTACTCAGTATCGAGGAGTCAGGGGAGGTGACTAAATCCTGGAGCAGAGCCAGACCTCCGCATTTTCCCCTCGCCCTCATAAAAGCTGACCATTTTCCACCATCATCACTGTTTGAAACTGTCCAAAGCAAAGACCCCTCAAGGTAAGGACTAGTTTACTTATTTTTATGAAGTAAAACAGTATTAATAAAATGCATAGTGACCATTCTTAACTACTGAAGAAACCAGACAGAATCATTTGTAGAATTTTGTGTTTTAAAATATGTAAACTATATATAAATGACCTTATATCTTCTTTAACCTTAATAATGACTTGCACATTCTAAACTCAGGCTAATTGATTATCTATAATCTATACGTAAAGTCCAATTGACTAAATAATGAACAGACTTTAATAATAACTATTTTATGGTATGTAGATTATTGTATTTTCTATGTAAAAGCACCAAAATCTCTCATTTTTCATTAATTATATTTTTTATTATTATTTAAATAAGATCCAGCCTATTCCAGTTATTATTATTTTTATTTTTTATTTTTTTATTATTATTATTTATTATTTATTTAAATACTGAGCTTTTTGACAAATTAGTAGAAATAACTGTACCAGCCAAGACTCTTTGGAAAATATCACTTGAAATTTTTATCTTAAATCTTCTTCTTTTTTTTTTTTTTTTTTTTTTCATTTTTCTTGTTTTCTATTTAAATACTTTATGTTGACCCAAAGAGAACAACTTCAATTTTTTTATGTTGCCAATTTAAAATCTATACATTAATTCAGAAAAGCGTGACTTTATTCTGTTTATTTAAGGTGATATTTTTACTGCTGATATTTTTTACATTTTTCCCTTTGAAGAGTGAAAACTTATAACTTATTTGTACATACAAGAACAAAATTACAGTTTGATTTGATGAACTGTATTTGACTCAAAGCGAAGAACTTGGATTTTTTATGCTACCTACTTAAATTTTTTACATACTTTCTACTTTAAAAAAAAAAAAGAGTGACACAATACCATTAATTTGAGGTGAGCAATTTTTATATTATGTATATTTTTCCATTTTTAACTCTTTTCTATACGCATAAAGTCCTGGTTAAACAACAATAAAATGACGTTTGATTGGCTGAGCTGCGTTTGTCATTCCAGGACCCTCACGAACTCCGCAGCCATGAATGTGAAGGGGGATAAGGTGAGTTGATCCATGACTTTGGACTATGGGCACAGTCTGTCCCTCCTGCTCCTGTCTCACTGCGGACGGTCCTGGCAGAGAGCAGGACCTGTCAGTGCTGTTATCACCTGTCAAGCTCTTTCCCCTTGACCTTAGACTAATTATAAAGCATTATCTACGGACAGGCGCAGAGAGGTGCGGGCCTGACACCAGCATATGTGCTTTACTGTATATGGGGATGTGTGAAGGTTTGACAGATAACAATGGTATAGAATGTGCTTCAGATTAGGAGTCACGGGGAACAGACTGCAGTCACATACACACTCCAAATCTGATCTTTAGAGTTTTAAGATCATTAAAATGAGATGTAAACAGCAAACTATCAGATTTGTTTCTTATTTTGGTCCCTCACATCAGATTTTGTGGTTTGTATATCATTTAAATAATCTTAAAGGTTGAGAAAAGAGATAATAAACTGAGTTTGGTGAGCATGGAACTGCAGCCAGTGTCTCAGGAGGTAGAGCGGTTATCTTATAAATAGGGCATAATGTTGTGCCCTTGGGCAAGACACTTGAACTGTTTGTTTGAATGTGAAGTGCAGGTCAGAGAGGCTCTTGGCTGTTGTCTGTAGGGAAAGGCTTGGTGTTTTTGGTTTGGCTGTGAAGGGAGCAGCAGAATATTCTCAGCCCCAGGGCAGCTGTGGCTACAGTTGTGTATTTTACCACCACAGTTATGTCAGTGATGCAAAGTCATCTTTAGTACCAATAAACAGCCATATAAATTATACACCATGTTATACAAGAGCTGCATATTTGTCATAGTTGTCCAAACTATGGCCTGGGGAGCCAAATGCGGCCAGCAGTCAGATTACCGGGGCCCTGGAGTTTGGTGAAATGACTCACCAACCACAACAGTACTTTTTCATTTATAGACCCAATACCACTTGGTATTAATGTTCTAAAGTCAAATTAAAGGCTCAGTGGCTAAGTAAGTAAATTTTTATTACAGCATAATGTCACAAAAACACTTTACAGATCATTATTCATTCACTCCACACCTGGTGGTGGAAAGCTACTATTGTAGCCACAGCTGCCCTGGGGAAGACTGACGGAAGCTCTGCTCCATCAGCCCCTCCGACTATCACTGACACACACACCACTTTCATACTAGGCAATGTGGGTGAAGTGTCTTGCTTAAGGACACAACAACAGTTTTCTTTTTGCCACTGTTGCCCCCCTGTGGCACCTGGAATTCCCAGTGATCTCCCATCCAAGTACTAACCAGACCCGGATCTGCGCTGTTATATTAAATACAGCTGTTTAAATACATTGGCTTTGTTTCAGTATTGCTCTTGTCCCTTGATAATGAGAAAAAGTCTGGGCTGCTCTAGTTTGTGTAATGAAATTTCATTATTCATGGAAAATTATTATTTGCTAACGAGGCAGAACAAGCCTCCACCTGACTGAAAGGTGGAGGGTTCATTCCTCACTCCGATTCAAAAAACTGTTTTGTTCTTTGTCATGATCCTACACCTGCTGGTCCCGTGTAGATTGTCTTGGATAATATGGCCGCCATGTTTCAGTCTGTCCAAAGACTCTCATTGCTTTGAATAACTACAAAATATTACTCTTGAGTTAAAGATGCATTGTGTAACTTTTCCGGTGGCGGGTCTGTCAACTGCTTTTCTCCATGGAAATGTTATTGCTTTGTCTGGAATGTTTCACAGTATGGCATTAAACCTCTCTGTCTTCATGAAGACCAAACCAGATCCAGTTATAGGTCAGATCTGTGGAGAGGCGACCCTGCTTACAGTCAGAATGCCTGCTTTTCTGGGTATTTATGAGCTATAAAAACATCTGTAACTGAATAAATGTAAAGTAGAGCTGTTTAATGTCATAGTGTGGAACATTTCCAGCAGAGCAATGACATCTCCATGGAAACAAGCAGGTGATGGACCCCCAAATAAAAAGTTACATAGTGCACCTTTATTGTTAGCTCGTCCTTTTCAAGTTGTAAATGTATTATGAAAATGAACATGGTTGATTTGAAAACAATATTTATTTCTTCCCACAGCCGAAGAGCAAAATTACGGCCTCTCGTAAGCTCTCTCTCAAAGTAAGTACAGTCACAATATTTTGCATCTTATATCACAAATGTAGGAGTTTGGGACCAGACTAATCCTGGACGTGGTGTTTTCAGATGCTCCTGTTGACCCGAGCGTCAGAGGATCTTCAGCGTGAGAGGCAGCAGAGAGAGGATGAGAAGAAGAAATACCTGGGAGAGAAGATGCCCCCTCTGCAGCTGTCCGGGAAGTCCTTGGACGAACTACAAGTGAGACCAGAAGCAACATCTAGAGTCTGGGATTCATATAAAGACAAGTCCTACCTCTTCACATGGGATTATTAGTGTTAAAGACGCATATCGGGTTTAAATGGACTAAAAGATTCTTGGTCATAGTAGTAGATTTATGAATTTGCACACTGTCAGTAGTTTAGAAATTGAAATATGTAAGAGACCTGTTACATAATTTGGTATCTTCATGGCACAAACTGATTTAAGAATATTATGTCAATACTTTTTCACATCGACTGCCACTTAAAGGTGAACCGTTTAACATTCCCTTTGTCTTTTAAATACTCTGTTATTATTAGTAAAATCTTGTCTTGTCTTGTTTATTCACAGAAAATTTGCAAACAGCTTCACGCCAGAATCGACGTGGTGGATGAAGAGCGGTACGACTGTGAATCCAAAGTCAACAAACACAACAAAGATGTGAGTAAACTTTTATGTGCATTATTATGAATAACTTCTAAAAGTGTCGAAATTTGTCCCATATTTGTTTTTATTTGCGCTTTAGTGATATTATTTTGAAGTCTTATTATACTTCCAGCTATACATTTTAAGATCCATCCATTTTTTATTTTTTTTTTGTGAATGACATACATACATAAAAAATAAACCGTGAATCAGATGTAATGTCAGTAAATTTAACCAAATCAGACCAAGTTACAGGTCAGATCTGTGGAGAGGCGACCCCGCTCACAGTCAGAATGTTTGTTTTTATATTATATACTAATAGAAAATATTCCTAAAATATGTAAAGTGTAACTTTCCTTGTGTAGAGTCGGCTATCTGCTTGTCTCCATGGTGATGTGATTGCTTTACCTTGAGTACATTAGATTAATTGAATAAATGCAAAACAACTAGGTTTAATGCCAAACTGTGAAATATTCCAAGGAAAGTGTTGACTTCTCCATGGAGACAAATGATGAAATAAAGCAAAGATACTAAACAGAGTACAATACTAATGTTCTGGAGGTTTGCTACTACTGTCTGGTTCAGTAGAGTTGTGATCGAGGAGTGTGCATCGGTCAGAATGCAAGGATCAGGTGGAATGATCTTTACTTTTCTTTACTGTAAACTTGAGTCTTTGGATGGGATGGGTATGTGAGCGTGTGTGTGGTTCTGTAAACAAAACAAATAAACACAATATTAGAAATAGACTAGATTAATAATAAAAATAATAACACATAACAATATAATATAACAATAATAATAATAATAGACAATATTGCGCAATACTAAAAATATAAATCCAAAATATATATTAACCAATAAGTACTGGGCAGCCACATGAAAAAAGTAGGCCTCAAAACCTCTACTACTAATGAAACTACAAACATAATCCCCAAACAAGACTGACTGAGGCATATAAACAAAAGACTTGAATAACATGAATTAAATAATAAGATAAAGTGCACATAAAACGAGGGGTGGCTTAGCGTCCGAACGAAATTTAGCATAGAACAACTTTAAACACTCAGTTTTTCATCAAACACCCTAATATAACATGGCAAAACACCCACCTGTCTCATGGACGCACACTACAATAAAAAGAAACAGAAATATAAGAGACAACAACACACTTCCGATGCACAGACTAATAATGAAAACACTAAACTTATCATTTAGTCACAAAAATGGCCGCGCTCAGGCTTGGTACTGCACCCTAACTGAATAAATGCTACAATACAGCCTTGCCTTCATAACAACTAAGAATAAAAGACATTATAAATAAAGTATTGTCTTAACTGGTCTTGTATGTACTTCCTCTTTCTCCTCAGATCCATGAGTTGAAGCTGAAGGTCCAAGACTTGGGCGGTAAGTTTAAGAAACCCGCCCTGAGGAAGGTGAGGGTCTCTGCAGACGAGATGATGAGAGCTCTGCTGGGCTCCAAACACAAAGGCTCCATGGACCTGCGCTCCAACCTCAAGTCTGTGAAGAAGGAGGACGTCAAACAGGATAAGGTACAAACATGACCACATTTTATCCAAAAGGTTCAGAATGATTCGTTATTAAGAAGCCGTATTGATAAAACATTTAAAACAAAATTCAATGGGAAAAAGTCCACAAAACGTTACATATATGGTAAAAAAGCAAAATCCCGTTTGTTAAGTGAGAGGTACAGAAGACAAACAGGGTGAGCTCGCACTTTCTTGTTCTTGTGGCTTTACAGCAACATCATGTCTTGGTCTCTTGACAGTGGAAGGTGTTTCTTGGTGAACAGCTGGTGCCTTTTGCTTTGGCGTTGACTTTTTAAATTCGTAACCAAGGTTGAGCGAGGAATCAGGATTTTGCTTTGTTGGCACTCCACATGCAAAATGTTCACTGCAAACTTGGGATGATTTCTTAGGCAGCCAAAAGGTTTCCTTTTTGGATCCTTCCTGTGTATCAATACTGCCCATCGCCATCGCCTTTCACTGTTTTTCAATTCCATTGCGAAGGGAAACAGTTTGAACGGAGGTTTGCGGTCACACACATCTGACAAACAAATTTCTCGAGACGTTTTCCGCTGTTAGGACATCCAACAACCACACAATTTTGATGTCCGAATCCCATAGCTAAAATATGACAACATCAGAACCAGAAACAAAAGTGATATGGTTCAAAAGACTTGAAAAGATCGACTTTGACAATAGACACATCCCACTGACCTGAAGTGCAAAGTTTGGGATGCATGTATTGGCCATTGTGAGATTCTTCAGGGATACAGGTATATTCTACAGTTCTAATATTTGCTTATTTTCTAGTTTAACTCCAATTTAGGCCAAGAAAAGTCCTTGCAAATACCTGATCTAGATCTGGGGATTAAAAACCCTTTGTCTCAGATTATTGCAACTAACTAAATTAGCATATTACATAATTAAAGCGTCCGTATTACGCTGTTTTCTAATCTATGTTATTACATTGCTGTGTTTCATTTACACATGTTAAAAGCACAAACCCTGACTAAAAATAAAGGGTTACTCAAGCATGTGTGAATGAAACAAAACACAACTCCAGGTATGTTTTTGAGGAGGGCACTACATTCAGAATTTTATACCTTTAAAGTTAGTGGTTAATAATAACAGATTCTATGACACTCCATAGTCAGATGAATAGTAGCCTGATTCATCAGCCGGTTTCACTTCATGGAAACTGTCTGACCTCACAGCATTAGGATTTGTTCGCTCAACGGTAGGCAGGTACTTTTTTATTTAACCAATCGCTGCTATTTGGTCGTGACGTTTGTAATGTCAGTGGTGTCCAAGTAATAGCCGACACAACAGCAAAGAAAGCAGAGAGTGAACATGTCTGTCAGTGATCATTGTTGTTTCTGTGAGATGAACTTCCAAATTAAAGGCGCAATAAAACATGCAAAGTTTGTATTTGACAAATGAAGTCCAAAGGAGGATAGTGTATGCGGTCTGTTATTGCAACTCGGGTTGGTTCAGCTCTTCTCTTATTGGCAGTGCACGGCAAGCCCCCAGTCTGGCCGTCCACAACTGGGCTCTCGGCGCATGATCCCAGCTTAGCTAGCTGGCTAACTTCCGTGGCCGTGGGCCGACCGAGCATGTAGTGCTCTTTTCTCCCACGGGCACACGCAAATGCATGCTCGTGTATCACGTGATCGCTTTGACCAATCAGAGCGAGAGGAACTAGAGCTGATTATAAAGCGTTTTTTAAGACAACTCAAGGATTTTGAGCGAGAAAAAGTTTATGATCTAAAAATAGGTAAAAATCGCCAACAAATCCGATAATTTTGAAAGCTGTAGGTGACCTGTCAGACGAACACGAGCAATTTGTGATCACATTGCCTCTATGAGAAAAATCTTGTCTCGGCCCACGGGACTTTTCTGCTGAAGTTCCAGTGAGTGACACTACGTCAACTGGAGGCAGCTACAAGCAGCAATACTGTATCCAGTTATTTTAATAGATCCATGGTGCACGGTCTACAACTTCCGGGTTTCTTGCAAACCGTCTAGTGTATTCTGATTCCTGACCAACTCACTGGAGAGAAATGAAATTGATCAGAGGCACTAGGTGGCACAACCTGGCTACATGAATAGTAACGTGAAAGAAGCGGCCCAGAGCAGCCCAGGCAAAAGAAACCATCGATAGTTATAGTTTCTGATAATGGGGTGTCAAACTCAAATTCACAGAGGCCAAAATTAAAAACTGGGACTGAGTAATGGGCTAAAATAAATATTTACTGAGAAATTTCAACAACATCTGCATGTTTTTTTTCCTTCTTTCGAGATAAGTAATGTTAAACTTTTTCTTATTAAAATAAATGTTTAATAATAGTTTTGTTTAAACACTGAATCCAGAACAAGCAGAATAAAATAATAATTAAAAAAAATTAAATAAATAATGTCTCTATAGCCTATCTGTAGCCAGCAGGCCAGCTCCAATACATATTTGATATAATCTTGTGGGCCAAATATAATTATATCGCAGGCCAAATTTGGCCCCCGGGCCTGAGTTTGACATGTCTGTCTTATATAGTCAGAGGACATTGGGCAAACTATCCGACAGCTGCTATACGAGAAAAGTGACATAAAGCGTATTCAGCTGTAATTCACGTCCAAGCTCTGGAAGACCGGAAACCTCCAAATTTCTGGGAACAGAATGTTGTAAATCTGTGCTCACATCTGGAGAAGAGCAGAGGAGGATTTCATGCTCACACTGTGTGTCTTTGAAAAGTGAAGAATTAAGTCAACAGTGTGTATTTCTGTGTAATTCCAGGTGCTTACGAGTGAGGTTGGAGACTGGCGTAAAAACGTGGAGGCCATGTCAGGAATGGAAGGTCGTAAGAAGATGTTTGACACAGGCGGAGCTGCTCAGTGAGGTGTTCAAGGACCGGAGGAGAAAGTACAACTGTCGACATGAAGCTGGGGCAAGTTTAAAGTGTTTAAGGGTAACATGAATGAAGAACTTTGAGCTTTTTACAGTGTTATAGTTAAAGTTATGAAGTTTTTTGTCATCAGAATTACCAGAAGGCGTCTTGTATTTGTGTATTCTCTGGCATTGCGTTTCTGTGTCGTGCTACCGTGTAAGTTCAAAGTGTATTAAAACTAAAATAATCTAATGCTAAACAAAAGTGGGTGGGTGGGTGGAAATGTGGGATTGTTTTTAATCTGTGTAAAGCACTTTGTGTTACATTTTTGTATGAAAAGTGCTTTATAAATAAAGTTTGATTGATTGATTGAAAAGTCAGAATATAGAAGCATAGAATAACTGAGTATGTCCAATGATATTTTTATTTGAACCCTCTCCTGTTTTGCTATAAGATGTTTGTAGAGATTAAAACAGAAATGAACAATGTGCTGACATAATAGTTTTCCTGTCTTTTGTCCATGCAGCTCTGAGGAAAAAAACAAAAAAGAAAGTAAGAGAGTAAATACAGCTAAATTATGTTGAAACGTGTATTATAATATTTTTATTATTATTATTATTATTATTATACTACAGTACAAATGACAAATTATAATAATTATTACCCTTATAATTAACTTTTTCAGATGTTTATAGCGTAAGTGTAACAAGGCCTAATTACAAATGTTACTCTGGGTGGGGTTTCTGGGTCATTGTGCCTTTTTGTGTAAATTATTTAAACATGTATTTTTAACTGGGTGGGATTATAATTAGCCTGATTCATCAGCTGGTTTCACTTTGTAAAAACAGTCTGACCTCGCAGCATTAGGATTCACTCGCTCGATGGTAGACGGGTACTTTTTTTTTAACCAATTGCTGCTATTTGGTCGGCTAAGCTTTTTCCAAATCCTATAGGAAGAAGGGCAATAACGTCTTTCCCCTTCATGAAATTCACTAAATATTCTCTTTGTTCCAGCTTTAAATCCTCAATTTCGGGAATCGTTGACAGGACAGAATATATGACTCTTCACTGATTGGCTGGTGCCCGAACTCACACTTCCGGGGTTTTTGCGAACCATCTAGTGTATTCTGATTCCTGACCATGGACATATTAAAATTATTAAAATAACTGTATAGGGTGTTGCTGCTTGTAGCTGCCTCCAGTTGGCATAGTGGACACTCACTGGAACTTCAGCGGAAAAAATCCCATGGCCTGAGAGAAGATTTTTCTCGTACAGCACAATGTAATCACAAACTGCTGGTGTTCGGCTGACGGGGCACCTACAGCTTTCAAAAATGTTGGATTTTGTGGCGATTTTTACCTATTTTTAGATCATAAACTTTTTCTCAGCTCAAAATCCTTCAGTTGTCTTAAAAAACACTTTATAATCATTAGCTCCTGCTCTGCTCTAGTTATGGGAGCAGCTAAAAATGCTCTGTTCCACCTTGTGATGTCATGAAGCGGTAGTTTCTCGCTCTGATTGGTCAAAGCAATCACGTGATTCGCAGGTGCCCGCGGTAGAAAAGAGCACTAATGCACATGCTCGCCACTGGTAGTACCTCGCCACGCTAAAGGCGAATCTGGAATCATGCGCCATTGAGCTCGGCCCATTGATTTGAATAGGCGACCATTTTGAAACTCCGGGCCTTGTTTCTGACCTAGTCGCTGGAGAGAAATGAAATTGAGCGGAGACACTAGGTGGCGCCACCTGTCTAGGATTATAATAACACTAGCATGCAAATGTAAAGATTAACATTTAAAATAATACGTTAACGTTTTGTCTGTTATAAAAGTTCAAATTGTCCTAGTGCACCACTGACTCACTACTGTCTCTTTCTTCTTTGTATTCTTCATTCTTTGTATTGGCCTACTTGTGTTAAAAAGTAACTAGGTTAGTACTTTGACTAGTATTTTTATGTGTACCTTTTACTTAACTGCAAATTTGACTGCAATAGGCTACTTATAGTCAGTGTTGGGAAGGTTACTTTTAAAATATATTCCCTTACAGATTACAGATTACACACCCCAAAATGTAGTTTGTAACGGAATCCATTAAGGTACTTAAAGTGAGTAATGTAATCTGAATACTTTGGATTACTTGATTTGCTGTAGAGAAGCAAAGACTAGGATATCTTAACATAAGAAGTTCTTTCTGATAAAAGAAAATAAAAAGCCCAGACTTTACTGAACCAGATTAAAAATATTATTGATAGAAGAGGAGGAGATACAGTCCACGCAGCATGGTTTAGTGCTGTTCAACCCTGTTTTAGACCTGGTTTAGTCCTGGTTTTAGACCTGGTTTTAGACCTGGTTTTAGTCCTGGTTTAGACCTGGTTTAGTCCTGGTTTAGACCTGGTTTAGATCTGGTTTTAGTCCTGGTTTAGACCTGGTTTAGACCTGGTTTTAGACCTGGTTTAGTCCTGGTTTAGTCCTGGTTTTAGTCCTGGTTTAGACCTGGTTTAGTGTCCAGCAATGAGTGGAATTACAGAAAAAAAAAAAAAAAGAGATATAGCCCAAATGTGAAAACAGGAAAATACCGTCATGTAATCCACTCACTGAAACAGTAACTGTAACTGAATACAGTTAATCATAATTTGTACTCTGATTACGTAACTCTGGTACATGTAATCTGTTACTCCCCAACACTGCCTATACTTGTAATTGAGTACATTTTAGTCATGTTACTGTACTTTTACTACACATTTTCAATACTCCTTCCATCATTGGATACAGTGAGCCTATATTTTTCTTAGATTTTTACTCTTATTGTCTTATTATCATGTTAAAGGTGAGATGACAGCACCCCCCTGTGGATAACATTTGCATTACACTTTGCGTTACACTTTCGTTTTGTGTTTTTATCGAGTTTCGTTTTCCTTTCAGATGAAATGTGTCGTAATTTTTAGTGTCTCGGCGCTCAGTGCGGTACAGTCATGGATACAGAGATTTTAAAACACATTTTGAGCAGTCAAGGCTCTGTGGACCGAGAAGAACTGGAGTGTAATCTCGGCGACGCTTCGTTTATCGCAGAAATTATTGACTCTAATGACAAACTCGTGCCGTGTTTGCTCAACGGGACTCCGAAGGTTGTGGCCCGGTGCAGAGTGAGACTGTGCCGGGCCAGAGAGTGTCCGGGCTGCGGGGGACTGCACCTGTGCAAAAACGTGCTGTTCACTGGAGACTGCCCGTTTCAACAAACAAGGTACAAATCTGCAAGTTAAAGTGCATGAGAGGAGTTAGAAAGTGGATATATTTTGGGATAGGAAACACACCCCCTCCCGTATTTAGCCCACAGTGATTTTGAACTGTATAATAATAAACACATCCATTGATTAAAGGTCTTATATTACGCAAAATTGACTCTTGTGAGCTTTAATCCACGTTATAATGTTGTTACCTCCTCACAAACGGACCTGGAGTATATATATATATACACACACACACATATATATATGTATGTGTATATATATATATATATATATATATATATATATATATATATATATATATATATATATATATTTATTTTTTTTTTTTTTATATATTTATAATTTTGTAACATGTCCTCTGTAATGGACACCGGGAACATTTTAGTGTTAAATCCACATGAAGTTAACAACCACAACCGAACAAAAACAAGTTTTTGATGACCAACATCTCTGACAAGCTTCTACAGTCGCCTCAAAAAGTTTTTAGACTCTTTTTAAATTTATTTTTCTTTTTTTAATCATAGTGCAGCCACAAAGTAACTACTATTCAGTTTTTTTTTTCATCCTGAATGTGATAGTACAATATAATCCCCCAGCCCTTTTTAGGCAGAAGAACCTAGTCCCCCCATTATGAATCTACCTCAAAACACTTAAAAGATTGATTGATTGAAGACTGGTTAACTTAATGTCCACTATAAAAGACACAAATGAATGGGCCGGATCTCAGGAGGATATGCAGGATTTATGTGTTAAACATGTGCGAATGAAACAAAACACAACTCCAGGTCTGTTTATAATAAGGAAACAATATTATAATGCTTTAAAGTGGTTGTTTCCATAGTGACAGGCATTTGTTCCCCATGATTCTTAGCACACAATATTCCTGAATGGATGAAAATGAGAGACCCTGTCAGTAGCTTCTTTATTAGTAATTATCCAACAGAATACTTTGTAAAATGCATAGGTTGTATTTCTTTTCAATTGTTTTCCTAATTGTCTACACTTACATTACACTGGATAATACACTGCAAAACAGCTTGACCAAAATTTAAGATATAAACACTTGGGGTGTAACGATATCCAAGTCTCACGATACGATATCATCACGGTGTGAACCTCACCGTACGATATTTATTGCGATATCGTGGGAAAGCTCACGATATGATGGGGAGGCTCACAATTAGGGATGTAACAATATCCAAATCTCTCGGTACGATATTTTCACGATATACATCTCACGGTACGATATTTATTGTGATATTTTGTGGAGGCTAATAAAACTGTTAATATTCTACTGTTTCCTCTTAAAATGTCTTCACAAGACTTAAAGAACTAAGACTTAAAAGTGCTTAGAACTGTTATTTCTTCATGTAGTCTACAATGAAATGGAGCAAAGGATCATGGTCTATGTAGTTCCCTCTGTCTTTTTTTTTATCTATTGCTGCACCATAACTTAATAATAATAATTTAAAGAAATTCAATATATTGTGATGGTCCATGATATTATTGTGAGAACTTTGACGATACGATATCACGATATTTCGGTTATTGTTACATTCCTGGTAATTATCCAACAAAATAAACTGCATAGTCTGTCTTTCTTTAATTATCTACATTTACATTACACTACAAAAAAGCTTGGCCAAAATTTAAGATATACTGTAAACACTTAAATCTATCAGAAAATCACTTAAAAGTATGAAATTATCTGTCTATGCAGCAAGATCATTTTACTTGACAAGTTATTTTAAAATAAATTACCTCTAGACTGGAATGAAGCTGTAGATAAATCTGAAAACAAGATGTAGAACCTGATATAAGTTTTAAAATCTTGGTCAGATCAGAGAAATTTGCAGTGTCTAAAGATCTTGCGTCTCAACCAGAAGATATTAAACTCAGGCATGGGTCAGGATTCATTTGGAAACAGCCTGTTTACTCAGTTTTGTGTTTCTGTTTTGCTTTTGCCTCTCCGTGCTGTCTGTGTTGTAGGAGAGGCTGTTCTTTCTCCCATGAGCTCCACTCTGAATACAACATGGAGGTCCTCAGGGAGTTCGGTCTGGAGACTCTGAGCAGGACGGCGCTGTGTCTGCTGCTGCTACAGAGCAACAACATGCTTCTGCCTCAGGTTTGTTTAAGTGTAATGTACGTCAACAGTGTTATGACAACCACTGCGTTACACAAGACTGGGTGTAGTCCAGACTCTACTTGATATTTTGAGTTAAAGGGACAGTCCGCAATTGTTGGAGTGTTGGAGACGTGTGGAGACACTTTTTTAAATATTCCATCCAGTCCTTGTATTTGCAGAGGTCGCTGGTGCTAGGCTAGTGCATGTCAATGGCCATAGTTATCCTGACACTAAAAACAGTCATATGCCGGACATACATAGTGCGATATTTTCAATCGTTTCACTCAGCCCCAGGTCGAAATGTATGATCAAATCACAGGGTTTAAATGGTCATAGGATGAGAGGCCGATCATGAGGTAATGGTAAATGGTCACATTTTTCTATAGCGCTTTTCCACCTTCAAGGCACTCAAAGCGCTTTACAACAAGGAACCACTCACCCATTCACACCCATTCACACAGACACTGTGGGCAAGGTGGGTTAAGTGTCTTGCCCAAGGACACAACAACAGCATTCATCTGTGGGAGCTGGAATCACATCAGCCAACCTGTGGGTCAGTGGATTTGATTGTGATGTTTTATGTTGAGAACTGGATTCGAACCACCAACCTTCAGATCAGTGGGCAAATGCTCTACCAACTGAGCTACTGCCGACCCCGAGGAAGTAATCAATTCTCGTTACCCCGTGTATACAACACGAAGCACGACAACAAACACACAACACAAAACTCGGCCCGATCCCAAAAACAGTTGCACGAGTGAAAAGTCGGCTCAAAAAGGGCCAAAAATCGGATAATGTACGGACAGGTTTACCCACTCCACAAAGCATCCAAAGCAAATCTGTTATTACACCAGACTGTCGATGTGAATGTCTGTGTTAATAGAATCATTTTAGAAGTAAAACTAATCTTGCATTTGAAGGATTTATGTCTGAGGAGCAGCAGCGAGTTGTACTTCCTGATAGAAAACATGGCAACGGCGGACTGATATATGAGAAAATAGTTCCTCAACGTTCGACGATTCATGCGATGCAAGACCCATTATCACAAAATAATAAGCCTAAATAGGTTATGACCCATACGATATGGAGAAGTTTGACTTTTCATATAATTTGGATGATGCTTGTCTTTCTAAAAAAAATGTCAAAAAAAAAAAAAAAACTTTGAAAATATTAATTAATAAATTCCTCAATCCTTATCTGTTACAAAGTGGTCGCTGCAAACTCTAGCATTGTTCATTTTTGCGTCTCCTGTTTATAGCTGTTTTTAGATTGTCTTTCGTCGTCTTTTTTCTCGAAGTTTTTTTTAAACTAATTCACTTGTAACACACCACTTTTGGTACATGAAAAAACTTGGGTCTTTCTCCCGATTAGAGCGGTTGCGGCACAGAATTTAGGCATTTTGGCGCCAAGTCAACGGAGGTAAACGCAGTTCTGTGCGTCTGTCTTTACGTCCTGACTCCCATCTGCTTTTTGTGATGTGACGTCATCTGAAACCCAGCAATAACTGTTAGCATCATGAGCTTCATTTGACGGGAGCCATATACTGTGGGCACCTTTAGTCCACTTCGTTATACAGCCTGTGGTATGTGGTAAATAAATAATGTTTCATAACTGGTTGTACTTGTCTCATGCACATGTCAGTCTGTTGTGATTTCCTGCATTTATATTAAACCAGTATGATTATAGGCTTTTTAAACTGGGTGGATGTGAGACTCCCCTTAGAGCTGCCGAGAACCACATCCCTCACGGCATGGTTTAGTCCTGGTTTAGTCCTGGTTTAGTCCTGGTTTAGTCCTGGTTAAATCCTGGTTTAGATCTGGTTTTTAGACCTGGTTTTAGTACTGATTTTAGTTTTGGTTTAGTCCTGGATTTAGTCCTGATTTTAGTCCTGGTTTTAGTCCTGATTATAGCCCTGGTTTAGTCCTGAATTTAGTCCTGGTTTTAGTCCTGGTTTAAGTCCTGGTTTAGTCTGGGTTTAGTGCTGGTTTAGTTCTGGTTTAGTCTGGGTTTAGTCCTGGATTTAGTCCTGAATTTAGTCCTGGTCCTGGTTTAGTCCTGGTTTTAGTCCTGGTTTAAGTCCTGGTTTAGTCCTGGTTTAAGTCCTGGTTTAAGTCCTGGTTTTGTCCAGGGTTAGTGCTGGTTTAGACCTGGTTTAGTCCTGGTTTTAGTTTTGGTTTATTCCTGATTTTAGTCCTGGTTTTAGTCCTAGTTTTAGTTTTGTTTTAGTCCTGGTTTAGTCCTGGTTTAGACCTGGTTTAGTTCTGGTTTAGTCTGGGTTTAGTCCTGGTTTTAGTCCTGATTTTAGTCCTGGTTTAGTTCTGATTTTAGTCCTGGTTTAGTCTGGGTTTAGTGCTGGTTTAGTCTGGGTTTAGTCTGGGTTTAGTCCTGGATTTAGTCCTGATTATAGCCCTGGTTTAGTCCTGAATTTAGTCCTGGTTTAGTCCTGGTTTAGTCCTGATTTTACTCATGGTTTAGTCCAGGTTTACTGCTGGTTTAATCTTAATTTAAGTTCTATTTTAGAGGCGCAGCCAAAGCAACGTACGTGAGAAGACACAGTCCACGCTGCGTATACAAGCCAAAACAGTGAAACTAATAGTAAGTTGTCAGAATGGCAACATAATTTTACAGCTACGACACACGCGCACAATCACCGATATCAATCCTGCTGCAGATGTGTACAGACGTGGACCTTTAGTTTTTTCTTCACCTTTTGAAACCCGCTGTATTAAACCCTCACCAGACTGATGCTGTGTCTCGTCTTCTTCAGATCTGCCATGATTACAACAATCGCTCCGGTTGCCCTGGAAACTGCCAGCGTCTGCACGTGTGTGAGCGTTTCCTGAGTCGAGACTGCAGCTGCCCCAGGACGCACGACTTCACCGCTCCACAACCCCTCAAACTACTGCAGGAAAAACACATCCCCGACCATCTCATGAAGGTTTTAAAGTCCGTGTACGCGAACAAGGAAGCGCTAAGGCTCGTCGACAAAGAAAACGGGAGTAATAACAGTCACACGGCGTCAAGCTCAGATATTAACAATGAATAAATGTTACGGGGCTGATTTTCTAACATTTCTTTTTGTTCTCATTTGATTTTACTAGTTTTATTTTCTTAATTAGGACTAGTGGAGTTAAAAAGAGCTTTGTTTTTAGTAATGGGATGAGACAAAATTTCCACAAGACGAGACGAGATACGAGATTGGGTCCACGAAAATGAGACAAGATAAGATTTTAAGATAATTCTTAATATTTAAATTTCACAGTTCAGTTTTCAATTTTGACCTCACATTTTTTTAATTTGATTTCATAGTTTTGTTTCAATTCTAGTACTGTTTTTTGGAAATGTAACTCACCAAAGTGTAATCCATTTTTAAAGATGCACAAACCCAAGGCACTCACTGGTTAAAATAAAATGCCTTTATTAATTTACGGCATGTCTTAATGGACAACTTACAAAGTCCCGACGCGTTTCAGCCTATGATTTTCCTCAGGGGACACACAAAATTGAGAGCAAATCATGTGAATAGGAGGGTTTCAGTCACGTGATCACGATGATGCGCGAATTTCAGGTGGAGGGCAGGAAGTGAAGACAAACACGGCTCTGGAGAACACAGATATGGAGAAGAGTTCTTATTGTAAGGATTTAGAGCCAGGACCAAGGCAAAAGTACGAGCAGTTAGTCGACAAATATATTGGACGTGACCCTGATCTTATTGAAAATGAGAGAATTTTCAACCAAAGTAAAAGATTTGCTAACAATCGAGGCCGAGGAGATCACAAACTATTTAGCTCTTCAGACATCGTTCTACACCAGACAACAGATGAAGACGTACAAAAGTTTGGAGGCATAGAACTTTTTATCAGTGGATGGGTCCTCAACCTTGGTGCAAAACGCCTAAATGATGATTATCGTTTGGTTTTGGCCAGGGTGAGTGTTTCTCTTATTTTATGTGTATAGACTGTTATGGAAAAAACTGCAGTGTATCGGCAGTAACCTCTATCTGAACTATTTAATGTCAACAAATCTCGTTAGCCGTTAGTCGTTAATGATTCGTTTATGTTTAGGTAAACCACAAAAAACAATTTAGCTTTGTAACAAACCTTTGACGAAGTGGTCACTGCAGACACGAGCATTAGCGAATTCTGCTCCTCCCGACCGCAAACAGGTTTGTAATCCACTTTTTATAGCGTTTTTCTGTCAGCTTTTCCCATTTCTGACCTTTGTGGACGACTATCTTCGGTACTCTAAAAAAATCGCTTTTCCTTCTCTCGGTTAGAACGATTGGCACAGCCGTAAACTACACAACACATCAGCATTTTCCTCCAGTCAGTTCACTTCCTGCCCTCCATCTGATTTTGCGTGCTGACAAACGTAGCCCTGTGACGTCACGTGAAACCCAGATATTAAATACAAAAAACCACCAATAGGGCTGCTCCACCTGGAAGAGGAGTGGAGACTCACCTGTGGACACCACCTAATAACACCACAAGATGGCAGTGTTAAAACAGTGGGACATCATAGAGTGTATAAAAACTTATTATTTACAAAAATATTAAATATATACAAAAAAATACCATGCAGTTATAAAAACACCATGCAGTTTTGTAATCCTTTTTTGTCCAGTCCAAATGTAAATACACAATCTTGTGGAATGAGATTTTGTACCATCCCCATTTATTTTATTTTCGCATTGTATTTTTATTTTATTTTTTAATACTTTGTTTATGAAATGTGCTGTATAAATGAAGTGGATTGAATTGGATCAGTCGGGGTGAGACAAGACACAAACTTTGGATTCATGAGAACAAGACCAGATTTTAACATATTTTATCAAGCATAATTTACATTTATTTCCTTTAATATTCTTGCTGCACTATTTTTTGCAACTACGGCTTCTCAAAATATGTAACTTACCAACATTTAATCGTGCTGAAGTTGCAAAAGGATGTAAAAATATAGAAATTATTGACACTTAACACATATACTGAAGGTGACCAAAAATGAATGTAAGCATGTTTGGTCTTTTTCACTTTTCACAAAGACCACTTTCCTGTTTCTATGCAATGGTGATATACAGTATAATATTCCACGGTCTGGCATAAACCTCTTCTGTCTCCGTGGAGACGTACTGTATCTTTAAAGACCTACTCTGTAAAATCGACTTTTAGGAGCATTTAACCAGAGGTGGGACCAATACTTTGTTTTGTAACTCTCAAGTCTTTGACCTCAAGTCCGAGTCAAGTCCCAAGTCAAGTACAGGCAAGTCCAAGTCGAGTCTCGAGTCACTGGCCCATAAGTTCAAGTCAAGTCCAAGTCGTCTGCTTTGAGCTTCAAGTCATTTCAAGTCTTTAAACCAAAGTGCCAAATATAGCTTAGGGTTTTGCAATTTATATGAATTTTAAACTAAATTGTACTTATAAAGTCATAGTATATTTATATATGTGTATTTGTAGAGTATATAAGTAGAAATGCTATTTTTTCCTTTTTAAATGTCTTGACAAGATCTTAGTGTGAATCATTACGGTCAGAATAGAACGAATTTAGATTTAAAAGTGCTTCTCAAGTCACAGGCCTCAAGTTTGAGTCAAGTCCCAAGTCATTCACCTTCAAGTCCAAGTCGAGTCTCAAGTCTTAGTTCATCTTATCAAGTCAAGTCTGAAGTCCTAAAAATTGTGACTCAAGTCTGATTGAGTCCAAGTCACACAATCTTTAATCGCTGATTATTATCAAATTAAATAGAACTGAATAAAGAAGCTACAGTAAAGTGTTAAAGTGATCATGTTACATTTCATTGGATCTTTTGTCTGTGTGGTTTTAAGTTAGACGGGTTAAACCATGAGACAGATTTAAACTTTGTAGAAGAAATCTTGAGGTGTCTGTTTTTAAATTGCATGTAAATTAAATGTCATAAATAAAGAGTTGTATTTAAAGTTTTGTTGTTGTTGTTTTTTTTTTTCTAATTATGACCAAATCAGCGTAAGTAATAAAGTAAAAGTATGCCAAAAAAATACAGCTCAAAGTTCTGTTTACTAGTTACAACTGAATGCGAAGTTAGTCCATTTTACATCAGCCCCTTATACAAAACTTATCAATTAAACGGTTTAAAGCTGAATTTATAATGAATAAAGTTGTTTTAAATCACAATCTGATCTGATCTGAGCTCTGGCCAATCAGAACAGACGACATGTTGTGGGTTTGTGGGTATAGAAATAAGTAGCATGTTTAAAAATCTATAAAAGTACAATTAAAGTACAAAATAAAGCACAATTACCCCAAAGCAGTGACCTGTATTACTTACTTTCCACCCTGCATATGTGTAATGACTTTTTATTGTCTTATTGCCTGACGACAGCTTCCCCTTGTGGATGAAATTTGCACGTCATTTAACTCTGATTTGCATTGGAATAAGTTTCGATTTCTGCTGAAGGAACATGTCCACTTCCATGTTGGCGCTGTGGTCATGAGTTTTCCCGTCACTTTGAGATTTTAGAATCATGGATACGGAGATACTAAAACACATTTTGAGTTGTCAAGGCTCCGTGGACCGAGAAGAACTGGAGTGTAATCTCGGCGATGCTTCGTTTATCGCAGAAATTATTGACTCCAATGACAAACTCGTGGCGTGTTTTGTCAGCGGGACTCCGAAGGTTGTGGCCCGGTGCAGAGTGAGACTGTGCCGGGCCAGAGAGTGTCCGGGCTGCGGGGGACTGCACCTGTGCAAAAACGTGCTGTTCACTGGAGTCTGCCCCTTTCTACAGTCAAGGTACAGATCTGCATTACATTAAATCAGCACTACGTCACTTTTTGGTTGAGGGTCTGTCGACTTCTTGTTTCTATAATGTGTCACCTTGTCTGGAATGTGCCGTAGTGTGACATTAAACAGCTGTACATTATACGTATTAAATTACAGGTGGTTTTATGTCTCGTTTACATTTATTAAGCGTTTTACGAAGGCACATTATCTACTGTGGAGAGGCACAGTTCTTCGTGTCTCAAACTCTACACCACTTTATTTGATGAAAATTGACCTCTTATTAGCAGAGATATGTTTTTATAATAAATCCCAGTTGAAAAAGTTTGTAGCGTCGTGACCTCAGACGCACGTAACCGCGGCGCGCGCGCGCTACACGGAAAAAGTGCACAAGAAGGTCTGGCTGCAGACACATGGGGAAAGTGGAGCTCCACTCCAGACCGGAAACACGTGACCTCCACCGAAGACGTCATCTCTACTTTTATGTAGACTATGGGGGACGAAACGATTTATTTTGACCGCAATTAAATGTTTATTAAATAAGATTGTTTTTACGTTATGGAATTTGTTTCGCACAGACAAACACAGAGCAAAACGACCATCTGGAAGACGGAGAAAACATGTGAGTAACACGCTTTTTAACTTTAGGAAATCATTACTAACACAACTGTAAATGTAAAATACAGCCATAACTCCCACAAAACTGTCAAATAAGTTTATTTTTAACTGCGTGAACTCGGAGATTTGAGCTAAAAGTTTGATTAGTAATCTGCAGCTAACGCGATGAAAAGTCAGCTCAAACTTTCATATTTGGACAGATTTCCATCAAACACTAATCATGTTTTTACTGTTAGGGGTAAAGAAGCCCACGGAGTGATTTAATGAATCTACGAGGAGAAAACTTGTAAACACTTGGCCAGTATAAGTGTAAGTGCGGTAAGATAAAAACACGCATTATTTCATGCATTAAACATAAAAGACACAGTTTTTTATGTTTAATGTATAAAACATTAAATATATCAAAGCTTATATTTACTTATATTCATGTAACATAAACCTCCAACGTGTGCATTTCATTCTGGGAATACATTATCTGCTTTTAACAATCCGTGCATGTTTGTAAAGTGAAAAGTAAAGAATCCTGCCTGGACAGGTCAGATATAAGGTGGACATAAGGCCATTTAACAGATTTTGCAGACACTGTTGTAGATACTAGACACCTGTGTCTGTTTGGCCTATCACATCTAATATCATAACAGTGAGTAAACTGTTTGATATTCATGTTCTTTTCTCATCTGCAGCTTCCTGTATGAGAACACAACACACTGCTGGGGCCACAGAAATGTTGGCTGATGAGACGCTCATGATTCATGAAATGGGTCAAATGCAGATGACAAAGAAAAGTCAACAGCAGGAGGTGCTGACCCAGACTTCTGCCTCTGTTTAGGTCTGGGACATGTTACATTGAAAACTCCAATAATAATAAATGAATCAGGCTCATGTTGAAATCATTATTTAATTTTCTGAAAATATACATTTCTCAAATGTGTGATATTTAGCTGTTTGGATTTATGTAATAGTTTTCTTAATGTGTGTGTCATTACAGGTTTTCACTCTGCAGACAGAAATTTCAACCAGTCAGACTTAAGGCCCATTCTGCTCTTCCTCCTCCAGAAAACGAGAGATATGTCAGACTGAATGATCCAAGTACACTGGGTCATGTCTCCACTGTCCATGTCCAGACTCACAGAGGAGGAGGAGGAGGTCCAGACTGTAGACCTGTGGGGCCTCTGGTTGCATCAGGCCTTCCTCCTGCACATTCTGTTTGCTGCTGTTCCTAATGTGTCCTAATAGAGATGTGTCCATAAAGATTAGGTTTAACGTTTTATTTCCTCCAGAAGTGAAACAGTAAAATGGTGGTTTCTGTTCGTCTTAGCTGAAGAGCACCTAAACAGCTTTATCACTGAGGAAGTGTCCCATGATAAATGTGGCCTTATATGATCTTAACAAGTGTATGAGACAAAACTAGTCATATAAGTTGCTCATAATAAGTTTTTCTGAATGTTTTTCAGTCTGTACTGATGTTTGATTCATGATGAAATGTGCTATTTACTTTCTGTCTCTTTTGAAAGTAACTAATTACATGTACTATAAGAATGTACTATTGTACTGCAGTTAAGCAGTGGTATTCCACCTGATCATATTTTGGAATTTTTTTTTTCTGCTTCAGCAAAATGGGAACAACTCTTTGAGAGTACACTGACATACAGCTATTTGTACTCACCTATTAATGCAGAGTGTGTTTGTGTAATGGGTTTAATGTTTGACTAGTCACATTATGATAAAGTATTTATAATCCTTTGATTGTTTAATAAACCATCTTTTCTCAAAGCAGAGACGTCTTTCTTTATAAACTGACTTAAATACATCCCCGGTATAAATGTAATCCTTTATCAATTTAAAAATACTTTATTAATAATTAATAATCTCATCAGTTTTTGAAACTTTAAGGCAATTTAGTCTATTTTAGATGTATCCCAGAAATATCGCCGTTTTGTTTTGCAAAAGTTAAACATAAGTTATCGTTTTTAGCCATAAGATTTGGATGAGAATTATTAGAATAACTTGGTCTGAAATTCCAACAGTTTGATTACCCGTGCGTCATCTGCGTGGTACGTGTTGTTAGCATTAGCATTAGCAAAGTGTCTCGGTTGCTAGGCGACGGGGCGGCTCCGTGGGCTACACCTGTCACATTTCAGCTACAGTGAAGGCCACAGCCTTCACAACCTTCGAAAGCTGCCGCCCTGGAACTGGGACACGGCTAATATGGCTAATACGAATAAAAAATAAAAGTCTATCGTAGATATGACGTATTTCCGGTGGAGGTCACGTGTTTCCGGTCTGGAGTGGAGCTCCACTTTCCCCATGTGTCTGCAGCCAGACCCCTCTCAAAAAGTGTGACGCTCAGCAGCTGCTCAGAATAAATACAGGGTAAAGTACAATAAAACATGCTTTCAGACGCGCTGATAAAGACTTAAGTCTGTAGTGTTTGTTCTGCTCTGAATCACAAACTGAAGCCTCCTGTCTGTGAGAAGTGACAGGAGCAGCCCCTGTCAGAGCAGGGCAGGGACATAGACACTTGAGATATGGCTTAGTAAACCAAAATCCCCCTGGTGAGGGCCCCAGACCCCCGATACACAAAATATGACACATTTATTTAATATTAAATGCAAACATCAACAGAACTCTACAAAAGTACAAAGTACAAATATAGACATTTTTTTCACCCCTGAACCTGGTGTCCTTTTTGATCACCCCAGTCTGGTCACCAGTGCCGCTGTAGACATCTGTCTGCCCTAAGCACAAATGCTTTGTCGGGCCCCACCACACTGCCTCACCCAGAATGAACAATAATTCAGAATTTATCAGGGAGATTCACTTTATTTCCAAAACAAATACACCAAACATGAAAGTTAAAATATAAACGATTAAGAAAGGTTAATAAATAAATACCACCACCATTTTTATAACAAAGATATTTGTGCAGTGACTACAGACTGAACACTGAACTGAACATTGTAAACACAGAACAAGTACATACTCTTGTAAGTAATAATGTGCAAAGTTTTATATTGTAAATAATGTAAATAAGTACAAATAAGTGAACAATAGAACTATTACTCAATCAAGGAACTTTAAATAAGAGCATGAGCGGAGGTCCAGACATCGAGGGAGAGAGAAAGTAAGAGAGGAAGAGAGAGACAGGGAGAGAAAAAGAAAGAGAGATTTTGCTTCTTTCAGTGCACTTTGGATGAATAGTTTTGCGAGGATTCATGAGCCTGATTTTTGGTGGTGCCCCTGCATTTCTGCTTACTGTGCATGTGTGGAGCGACGCCACTGCTGGTCATCCTACTTAAGACAATATAAAAACTCAAGAAAAAATACCAAATGGATTTAAACAGCACATTTTAATGATTCTGTGGTCAATACGAGCGTTCATGGTCCTGCTCAGGAGTTTGATTTTCAACAAAAAAAGACGAGAGTGACTAACTGAAAAACTGTTGGCTAATTCTAGCTTGTGACTTGTGAATTTTACGTGTCACGTGTTGCAGTTCCAGTTAAATCCGTTCTTTCCGGTCAGATTGTGTAAAAATAAAACTCAGATTAAAGTGTTATAAAGCCTCAGACAGAGCAGAGCCTACAGTTTGCATTTACACCCCAGGTAAAGTTGACGTCAAAGTGTGAGCAGCAAAGTGTCAATAGAAATAACAGAAAACAACTTGAATGTATCGTACGTATTACAGAGTGACCAATTTTAGCCAAATATCTTTCTCATAAAATAGTGTTCGGACAGATTTGGGTTACGACAGGAACCGAGAATATTAGGATGATGAAGAAATTGTTTTTGTGCACAACTTCCTGTTCAGTTTTATCTCTGTGTGTTTTTTGCAGAGTCGTGTCCAAATGAATAAATATTTAAAGATGAAGCAGTGAACAGGGAGTGACTCACAACATGTTAAACAGATAAAATCGATTCTTCACCAGAGGACACTTCTGCTTTTTGTGTTTCAACGCTAATACTGATTTTGAGACATAATAATTAAAACAACGCCACAAACTGAACTATTCTACACATGGAAACAATTAGTCTTGACTTTGATTCATGTGAATTTTAATAGCTATTTAAAGAGAACAATGTGGTTGTATCGTACAAACAAACGTCACTATTCACTCGGGACAGTCCTAGATTTATCCAAAACCATTGAGTTGTCCCAGTTTTATACAAGAAATGTCCCCGGTGTCCCTATTTTTGACCAATTTGATCCCTGCCAACAGTAAAAAGAGGCATAAATTGTTATATGTTAAGTTAAATACAAAAAAGCATGTTAAAAAATGACCAAAACACAAAGAAAATGACTATACGACATGTGAATAAGTCATGAATGGGTCAGTTTTCTTTAATTATGCACTCGTTTCAGTTTTATTATTATCAACCAACCCAAATCTCCCAGAAATCCCACTTTTTATTTTGAAAATCTGGTCACCCTTATGTATCATGAAGTGATCTAGGCCTACTTTAGAGTTTTCAGTGTGGTTATGTCATACTAGACTGGGGCAAAAGTCAATAGATCTGCTTACTTCATTTGAAATAACCTACAATATTACAACATCAATGCGAAAGTTGTGTTTAAAAAGTAAGAATTTTGGCTTCTCGTCCCATTTCCATTCAATATTTTCTATGCTATGTAGTTTATAGAACACATAACTTGAGTAGGGATGCAACTTATTTTAATAGTCAAATATTCATTGATACATTTTTCAATTAGTCATCTAGACAAACAATGACTTCTTTTACATTTTTAACCATATAAAAGTTGAAATTTGGTGACTAATGGCTTCTAAATAGAGAATATTTACAAATTACATGTATTATTGTTTAAAGTCAGATATTGTTAAATCTTTATTGGCATTTTGTTTTCATAATGCCATTGTCTTTGCTTTAAAATGTGTTTTCGAGTGTTTCAGAGTCTGTATGGCCCAGATCATGAAAAAAAAAAAGAAAATATGACAACCTTCATATATAACAAAGTTCATTTTAATGCCGTGTCTGTGCCATATTTATTAGTTTCTCTGTGCTGTCTGTGTTGTAGGAGAGGCTGTTCTTTCTCCCATGAGCTCCACTCTGAATACAACATGGAGGTCCTCAGGGAGTTCGGTCTGGAGACTCTGAACAGGACGGAGTTGTGTCTGCTGCTGCTACAAAGCAACAACACACTGCTGCCTCAGGTACGTCTACTGCTAAACTGTGTAGAGTTTTTAAGTTTTCAGACATTAATGGTGCATTGTGTAACTTTTCCGGAGGAGGGTCCTTCAAATGGACTATTGCAGTTCTTTGTAAGTGGGGTTAGACCAGGTCTCCCTGCAGCACTTACAACACCAGAACACTGCAGCTCGTCTGCTGAGAACACATCACACCTGTGCTGTGCAACCTGCACATAAGACACCTGTCTTATATCAGGTGCAATTTTAAATATTATTACCATATTTTTCGGACTATAAGTCATACTTTTTTTCATGGTTTGAGTGCTCCTGCGATTTATACTCCAGTGCGACTTATATATTTAAGTTTTCACACTGACAGCCACAAGAGGCTCTAGGCTTGTGTGACAGTATCTGCTACTACTGTTTCTCCTGTACCACTGTCACTTCGCCCTTTACTGTGCATGTCTCCTGCAGAAAAAGCTGCTGTCCTTCTGCAAGTAGTGACATATTCACTCAAAAATGGTAATTGAGCAGCAGAAAGAAAGTTTGGAGTGAGTGAGAAACTTGTGAGGGACTGGCAGAAAGCGGGGATGGAGAACACAGCTTCATGGCAGCCAAGTGGGTATGTCATGCAAATTTCCTGGAAGTCATTGGATGAATTGACAAAGCCTGGACTTCAGTGAGAACCAAAACCCATCCTGTCGGGATTCAGAAAAGATGGAATAATTCTAACTGGAACTGATGCTGAGTCTGACGACAGCTACACAGAAGTGGAAGCGGCGCTCTGTTTACTTCCGGAGTTCGCATGTTGCTCAGAAGTGACACGAGTCAAGAGTTTAGTAAACTTGTTATGGTCTGTGGTTTATGCTATAATTATCTGAAGAACTGTTCATATGTGACATTAACACTCTGTTGTTCTCTGTTCTATTGTTTTTACTATAACTTGCCTTTCAAGATGAAATGTCGGTTACTGGTCTTGGATTTTATAAAATAAATTTCCCTCGAAAAGTTCACCTTATATTGTTTTTTTCTTCTTCATTACACATTTTTTGACTGGTGTGACTTATACTCTGAACTGAACTTCAGACTTATAGTCTGAAAAATACGGTAATTGTTTCAAATATTTGCACTCTATTGGTCCAGTCTATTTGAGGGAATTACTGCAACCTTATATTCCACCCAGAGCCCTGAGATCAACTGACCAGCTCCTGTTGGTCGTACCCAAAACTAGGCTCGTGTCAAGAGGTGACAGAGCCCTTTCTGTGGCAGCGCCCAGACTGTGGAACAACCTTCCTCTTTCTGTCAGATCCTCTCAGTCTGTAACAGAGTTTAAGACTAGACTGAAAAGAGTGCATTGTGATATGTTGAAACGTTCATGGCAATGCACATCTCTACTACACACTGTCACAATATTGGTACTGCGGGTTGATGAGAATTTCTGTCTTTTGTCTTTTCAGATCTGCCATGACTACAATAACCACGGCTGCCAAGACGACTGTCAGCGGCTGCACGTCTGCGAGCTTTACCTCAGCTTTGACTGCAAATGCTCCAGAACGCATGACTTCTTTGCTCCACAACCCCTCAAACTACTCCAGGAAAAAACCATCCCTGACCATCTCATCAAGGTTTTAAAGTCTGTGTACGCGAACAAGGAAGCTCTAAGGCTCGCTGACAAAGAAAACGGGAGTAATAACAGTCAGGCAGAGTCAAATTTAGATGCTAATAATGAAAATGAGTTAAATGAAAACAACCAGGATATAAGTGAAGACACGCCAATGGACGGTTCAGACGTTTCAGACGCAAGCAGCAGTATAAGCACGAAACAAGATCAAAGTAGTGTTCAGGTCACTAAAAAGAGGAGGACGAGAGGAGGAAAAGGAAGAAACCGCACGAAGCAAAAGAATAAAATGCCGGCAGCTGCTACTGGTGCAGAGCTCACCAACCCCGGACATGGACAGTACACGCAGAGCTCTCAAGGCCCAAACACTGCTCCAGATTCAAGCAGCGCTTCAAGGAGAGGCTCTAGTAAAGATGGTAGGTGCAATAATGATGGAAAATGAAAATAAGTTGTGACAATTTATTAATTCAAAGTGGAACTAAACACTGAATCCACTCCGTCCAAACTCTTAGGTGCAACTTTTGTGGTGAAGGGTGCGTCAAATGCTTTTCTCCATGCAGATGTTATCGCTTTGTCTGTAATGTTTCACATTTAACCTTTCTATCTTCATGGAGACCAAACCAGACCAAGTTACAAGTCAGATCTGTGGAGAGACGACCCTGCTCGCAGTCAGAATGTCTGTTTTTCTAGCTATTTTTGAGCTATAAAACCACCTGTAATTGAATAAATGTGAAGCAGAGCTGTTTAATGTCATACTGTGGAACATTCCAGGCAGAGCAGTGACATCCGTAGAAACAAGCAGGTGACAGACCCCCAACCAAAAAGTTACATAATGCACCTTTAAGTAATTCATTTGTGTAATTTTGGTTCATAATTCAACCTTCTAGACCTTAAATCTTATCATATTGCAGAAAAAATGCCCAAAATGTCCCACTACTACAGAGAAAATGATAAATTTTGACCCTCAAAAATGATAGTTCCATTTAATACTGATCGGTAAGTTGCTATAGTAATTATCATGACAGGCCTATGTGTGTGGTGTTTTAATAGCATTATCTACTGCAGTGGTCCCCAACCTTTTTTGCACCACGTACCGGTTTTATGCCCGACAGTATTTGCGGACCACCGGGTGCACCGGCCGGGGAAGGGGTTGCAGCGGCGCTCTTAGGGACAATATTTTTATATTTTTATGGACCGGCGGCATATGGGAAGAGGCGCTGTCTACGGTTCGCACAGCATGGTTTAGTCCTGGATTTAGACTTGGTTTAGACCTGGTTTAGTCTTGGTTTTAGACCTAGTTTAGACTTGGTTTAATCCTGGTTTAATCTTGGGTTTAGTCCTGGATTTAGACTTGGTTTAGACCTGGTTTAGTCTTGGTTTTAGTCCTGGTTTAGTCTTGGTTTTAGACCTAGTTTAGACTTGGTTTAATCCTGGTTTAATCTTGGGTTTAGTCCTGGTTTAGTCTTGGTTTTAGACCTAGTTTAGACCTGGTTTAATCCTGGTTTATTCCTGGTTTAATCTTGGTTTTAGTCCTGGCTTAGTCTTGGTTTTAGACCTGGTTTAGAACTGGTTTAGTCCTGGTTTAGACCTGGTTTAATCCTGGTTTAGTCTTGGTTTTAGTCCTAGTTTAGTTTTGGTTTTAGACCTGGTTTTAGACCTAGTTTAGACCTGGTTCAGACCTGATTTAGCCCTGGTTTCGTCCTGGTTTTAGTTCTGCTTTAGAGGCGTGGCCTGCACTGCGCACCCAAGAAGACACGGTCCACGCGGCGTAGGGGTCGGGGGGTTCGTGCTTTTGCGGCCCGGTACCAAACGACCTAAGACGACTTTTTACTTTGTCAAATTTTGATGAAACTTGGTATATAGGTAAATCATAGCCAGAAAAGCCAAAATTTCAAAATTTTTATTTGATCGGGTCATGGTTTCCAAGATATCGCAATTTCATTTTTTCACTTTTTTGTGTGGTCGCTGAATTTCAAATTGCATTTACTCAGCAACTACTGGTCCAATATTAAAAAACAAAGTATCTCTGGAAACGGGAAACGATAAGGAATCCAAATCTGTACATCAAATATATGAACTTGTACTCTGTGTGCATAAATGTATAGCCATATACTGTACACAGAATGGATATTTGGCATGTCTTAAGATGGGTGTAAGTCAGCATCTTGATAAATTTGTGTGAAAATAAAAAAGAAAACCTCCTCCAGATTCTATGTTGTAGTAGACATATAAGGGCTACATTTTTTCTATTGGTGTCATTAAGGTCAAACGTGTCCCTTATTGTCAGGTTCAAGGTACAGGTAGGTATCTATAGCTTAAAAGGTAATTCATCTCCAAAGTACTCAAATGCAAAAATAAATGCCAGATCTGGATTCCTTATGGTTTCCCCGTTCCTCGTTTTTTGATATCGGACCAATAGTTGCTGAGTAAATGCAATTTGAAATTTGGCAACCATGCAAAAAAGTTTTTAAAAAAAATGAAATTGCGATATGTCAGAAACTGTTACTCCGATCATGCTAAAATCTTAAAATTTGAATTTTCTTTGCAGTTGGAGAAGGTGAGGTTTCAGATTGCAAATGTTTTGGGCGAATTGAGGTGGAATGACCCAACAGTGTGATTTTCATTCATTCTTTTTAGATACAATCTGCATGTTCTTCATCAGAGGACTCTGTAAACATGGAGGTGAGTGAGAACGCTGTCATTTTGTCTATTAACATTATAACATTGTGTATATATAATGGCTTTGAGTAATATAGGACCTTTAAAAGACCATATAGTGGACTCAAAGAGCAAGAGTTAGTTCTGTGTGTTTTTTTTAAATTTTACTTCATATGTATTTGTTCCCACAGACAGCTGTCTTAAAGCCCATGACAAGATGCCGTACAGATGGCAGCTCAAACAGGGTCCCTTTTGGATTCCTTTGACTCAAAATGAGACCATAGAGGAAGACTACTGTGACCCCCACAACACATTCAGGTACTCTTTCAACTAATAACACTGTATTCAATTAATTAAGTACTGTATATAAGCATTTTGTATCACAAGAAAAATGCACAGATAGATCATTTGAAACAGTTTGCAGAGATCCAAAGTTTTTACTTCAAACTTTTACATTTTGAGCCCCCTAATTATTCACCGAGACGAGTGTGTGTGTTGTGCAGTACCGGTAAAGCTAACAACTAGTATGCTAATAGTGCTCTTCCTGATTATCTGACACCAAAATGCCCTCTAATTAGATGCAGAGAGCAGCTTATACAGTATGTACTGGGGCAAGACAAATTTTGCTCAAATACATTGGGTACATGGCCTTTACAGTATAACAGGTTTTGATGATTCTCTAATTGCTACTTAATTTGGTGGGATAATGCTTTTGTAAGTATAGATTATAGTTTTACACCAGTCAAGAAGTAATTTGAGAAGAAAAGTTGAACAAAAATGTTGAAAATTACAGACAATAAAGAGTTCTACTTTAAAGCCAACACACAACAAAACGCCATTTGCCGCACGTCGAACCTTCGCATCAACACACACTGAACACCCCTCGTCACGACTTTTAAAAAGGCTTTAACACAAGTCTTGCTGTGTTATAAATGACTGTTTGAGAGGAGAGGTGCCAGTTTGAGGAGGCCATATTGAGTTTAGCGAGAGGCGAGAGATACAGAGTACAGAGAGAAGCAGGAGAAGAGGCCTGTCTCTCCTGCAGCATCGAGTCTCTCCTCACAGTTTACAGCTCCTTTTATGGGTTACAGCCGTGTTTCACAACCTTTTTTTCTGGGGAGCCATATTTTAAAAACAAACCTTCATGACCCATGTCACAAAATAAAGATGGATTTGACCATTATTGAACATTAATGAGGATATTTTATTGTTGACTGAGTGATTGTGTCTCTCTGAACAATTAGTATGACTCAAGATTTAAACTATTTAAAACAGTAATTGAACCAGCAATAAAAGATGTCCATACATATCCTGAAGTGCACTGACCTTTGCTGATTTATCACCCTTCTTTTTGGACAACCAAAACATTTTTCAACTTTAGCAGCAGGAACACTCGTCCAGGGCAGGCAGATAGGATTCGCTGACTCTCTAGTGCTCTCAAGTGTCAGAACTGTATACTGCAGACGTACATGCAGATCGTGACAAGGCGATCCCCAAAAAAATCTCTTGCGGCCCACCTGAGGTTCGTGACCCAGTCTTTGGGAAATGATGGGTTACAGAGCAGAGACATGTCTGTACTCACCGCACAAGTGTAGAATGCCTCGTGTGTTTTCAGATGCAGTGCTGCGTCCTGATTCAACATTTATTAATTTCTGTTTAAATGTATAAATTAGAGGTTTTGGCGTACAACATAGCTGCTTGTTATCAGTTATGGAATCCCAAGCATGATGTCAGGAAGGGAAATTTTAATCCTACAAAATTGCCAAACTGGGAAAGCATTTTTTAGTCAAATCTCTTATGATCTTAACTGTGTTTTAGTCCAACCTGTCATAGGCATTTTGAAGCTAGTGAAACAAGTCAACTCATTATAATGTATCTTTATTATCTGTACAGCTACACTAACCCTTCTATACATTTTGACCGAATGAAGAGTGGACAAAACAAAGTAAGGCGACTGTCCACTGTGAGCTCTGTAGTGAAACCGAACTACAGCTACACCACTCACTGGATCTGGTACTGGGAGGACGAGGTCGGAATGTGGAACCAGTACATTGTAAGTATCTGCTAACACATGAGTGTGATCAGTGCATGATACTAAAATGGTATGACTGTAGATCTTTAGTAGTTTAGCCGATTAATCTGGTGTCTTAGTCCAGTGGTTCCCAACAGTTTTTGTAGCGTACCACAAATCTCTACTACCTCAACTAACTCCTATATCGTATAACAGTGCTTTTTGTTGTTTTGCTGTGTTTTAAATGAGAAATGATTCACAAGTTGAATCTGTTTTTTATATAAATACACTGTTTCCTATACTTTTTATATAAATAATAGTTTTTGCATGAACTCCCGTGCAGGTTCATTCTTGTGAGTGCAGTTTGTGTCAATACGTACTGTAGAGAGGCGTAATAGTTTTGAGAGCTTTCGCTACACCTCCTTTTAGTTGGCTAATCGATCGGCAGGACATGTCCCTAGTTGATCAAAATACTTTTTTTTTTTTTTTTTTTTTATACAGCCAAACGAACGTGGGTTACTCAGCATCACCAGTAAAGAACTTGAAGAGAAGTATGTGAAAAACAACAATGATATGGTGACATTTACTGCAGAATCACAATTGATTGAAATCAGCTTCCAAGGTAAAATTTATGCACATATGGACGAAGGTTTAAATATTTTTACAAATGAAAAGTACTGAATTATTTCTTTAATTTTTCTCAGACATGATTGAAAGAAACCTGACATACGGTACAAAGAGAGCGGTGAGGAGACGGCCGCGATTTGTCTCTGAAGCTGAAGTGAACAAAAACAGGTATAACTCAATCACGTCACGATAATTAATTTTGAAGTTTAATGTATTTCTGAAAAAAATATATATACAGTATATAACATCCTAATAATAATACTCATATCTGAAGGAGCGGTGCGGGAAACACAACTGTTAAAATCATTTAATATTGTCAACATAAAGCTTTTGTCACTTGTACAGAAATAGTCACAGTGGGTAAAGGAATCAAAACTTGTTAACTTCTTACTTCAATAAAAATATTACTTAAACAAGGGTAAAAGTATGCTTAGTATTAGGTATGTTTCTGGGATATCGCAATTTCATTTTTCCACTTTTTTGCTTGGTTGCTGAATTTCAAATTGCATTTGCTCAGCAACTACTGGTCCGATATCAAAATGTGTGTGAAAATAAAAAAGTAAACTCCTCCAGATTTTTTATATGCTGTAGTAGATGTTTAGGGCTTTCCAGAGATACCTTGGTTTTTAATATCGGACCCGTAGTTGCTGAGTAAATGCAATTTGAAATTCGATGACCATGTAAAAAGTGAAAAAATGGAAATATCTCAGCAACCTTTACTCCGATCATGCTAAAATCTTACATTTTCGCTTTCTTGGCTATGACTTACTATTACTTACTTTTACTTTTTTGGGTGAATTGAGATGGAAAGACCTGTAACTGAATAAATCGATATAGCAGTTTTAATGACAGGTATTAATATCATGTAGTTTTCAAGTTTTCATAACAATTGTTTTCTATTGTAGGGAATGTACAACAAACATCACTGCTGTATCAGACTACTTGGAGAAAATGCAGATTGCTCAAAAGGGACATGCTCAACTTACCACCACATCATCTACAATTAATGAAGTTTTTTCTTATTATTTATTTCCACCGACTAATTTGGCACCAACTCCTCAAGTCGCATTCACTAAAAAGTTTGTTGGACTGTCCAATTTTCAAACTGCAAAACCAGCGAATGCAGTTTCATCAGCGACCGCACAAGTGGCATCCACAAATAAAACAAATGTACAGGCTGCGTTGCCCATGACAGCTGCTGCCACGGCAACACCTGCAATGAAATCTGCATTGACAACAACATCAAGATCGCAATTTCCGTTCACAACTGAAAGTCAAGCCACAAAATCAGCCACATCGCGGTTCACGTCTGCTTCAACGACTGGGGTGAATTTGACAACTGATTTTTCAAAAACGCCATCAACATCTGGATTGAAATCACCCATGGAGACCACAACATCTGCCACAAAATCACAAATTGGATTCAGAATTTCAGAAGCGTCCGGAACCGTTACAGCAAGTGCCTTTTCAGCTTCGACAAAATCATCAAATCCATTCTCACCAGCTTCATCTGCTGGAAAATCACAAGTGACACCTACAACATCTGCAGCTTCAACGGCACCAACATCTGGGTTAAAATCATCGAATCAGTTTTCAACAAGTTCAGATTCAGAATCGTCAAAACTTGCAATCGCAAAATCACAATTTCTATTCGACACAAAGCCATCAAAATCACCTCTCATGACCTCACAAGCCACAAAATCACAATATACTAGTACATTCGAAACAACTGCAGCTCCAAAATCAACATCAGCGATTACACCTGAATTGAAATCAGCAAATCAGTCATCAAAATCAGTGCCCGTGACCTCACAACCTACAAAATCAGCTCCAAAATCAACATCAGATATTAAATTTTCAACACCAGGAACAAGTTCACCAGCTTCGACTTCTACGAAATCACAACTCACAACACTACTCGATCCATTTTCACCAACTTTTCCAGTAAATTGGTCGCAAATGGCACCTACAACATCTGCAACAACAAAATCACAATGCACACCTTCAACGGCATCAACATCTGGGTTAAAATCATCAAATCAATTTTCAACAAAGCCAGAATACTCAAAAGTCACGACCACATCAGCGCCCACAAAATCACAATTTGCATTCACAACAACTACAACACCAAAATCAACATCATTTTCAACATCTGGGACAAGTTCGTCAGCTTCAACTTCTACGAAATCGCAACTCACAACATCATCAGATCCGTTTTTATCAGTGGGCAGATCACAAATGAAATCTACAACATCTGCAACAGCGAAATCACCGTCGACTCCTGTTACATCACGGAAAACATCTGGATTAAAATCATCAGATTCATTTTCAACTGATTTAACAGCGTCCAAATCTGTCTCGAAATCACACTCAACAGTTTCTTCAACATCTCGAACGAATTCACCAGACGCATTTTCAAGATCTTCATCAACGAGACCTCAACTGAAATCTAAAACTGCGTCTGACTTCTCGACGGCAAAATTGGACACTCCGACGAAACTAACGTCTGTAGCGTCTTCCACAAGATCACGGACGACACCTGATACAACATACGCAACAAAATCACAGCTCAGTTCAGCGACGTCAAGACCGCAAACGAGATCTACAGCGTTTGAAACAGAACCAGAATTTGAAGTGGAGACAGCGTTCACGGCCGTTTCATACTTTGAGTCGACTGCAAGTTCTCCTCGTCCACCTCGAAAAAAAAAATCTTGCATTATTTCTTAACATTAAAGTTTCTATATTACACCAAAATTGACTCTTGTGAGCTTTAGGATTCATGTAGGATGTTGTCATCTCCTCAAAAACAGACCTGGAATTGTGTTTTGTTTCATTCACACATGTTTGAGTAATTCTGCATTATTAATCTGTCTACATCTCCAGAGCTCAGTAGAGATCGTCAATTCTGGGGCTGAATTCATCCAAATGATTCTAGTGAAGGTGTATGCAGTGTAAAAACACAGTGGAGCACTTCCTGTATTACCACATGACATCACAAGGTGGAACAGAGTGTTTTTTGTTTAAGAGAAGAATTCAATATGGAGGGTTTTTGTGTTAAACATGCGTGAACGAAACAAAACAAATCTTCAAGAAACAAAATTATAACAGAGATCAGAAAATAGTGCAATAAGACCCTTTAAGTCAGGGGTGTCAAACTTAAATTCACAGAGGGTCAGAAAAAAAAAAACTGGGACTATTTCGTGGGCCAAACTAAATATTTATTGAAAAATTTCTGCATGTTTTCTCTTCTTTCGGGATATGTAATGTTAAACCTTTTCTTATTAACCCTCTCCAGGCAGGCGTTGTAGATTTGCAACAGCTAAATGCCAATTACCTACTTACTCCAAATCCATATTTTATTAGCTTTTTTACGCAGGAGCCTTTTTCTCATCCATGCTGATAAATGTGGACGATGCAGACTGTGCGAGAATTGGCTCCATGCAAACGGCCTGTCAGAAGTGCAAAGTACTTTTGTTGTTTACAAAGGATAAAAATTGTTTCTTGGAGCACCACACGAAAAAGTGATGTTGTTCTGCCACTGTAAAGCTGTTACACTGTGCTTTATGTTTTCATTGTTATGAAAAGTGGTATACACATAAAGTTAGCGTTCATATCATTTTCAGTCTTCAGTGTTAATTTACCACACCGGACCAAGGCTCAACATCCCAGAACGCATTGGATGTGAAGGTCTCTCTCAAAAAAAAGTCAGGATTGTATATTACTACCCCATATGATCATTTTCCTTACTAAAATTTTATTTGAGCCTGAGAGGGTTAAAATAAATGTTCAATAATAGTTTTGCTTAAACATTGAATCCAGAACAACCATAATATAAAATAATAACAAAATTTTAAATAAATAATGTTTCTAAAGCCTATCTGTAGCCGCTGGGCCAGCTCTAATACATACTTGATATAATATAACGATATCGCGGGACATGTCTGCTTTAAAAGAACCATTTATACGTATTTGCTTCATTGCCTACAGAGGTGACTGTCTAGTTCTTGCTCATGACAATTGTAATGCTGATTTACTCTTAATAACAAAAATACTGGACATGATGGACAAGTTGTTTATGCTATAATTTGATTTGATTCTCAAGTTTATTATCCAATCAGAAAGCAGAATGAGCCTCACATGAGTCTCTGTTTGGGGTTGCCAGATTTTATGTTGAAATCCAGTTGGTTTAAAACCTAAAAGGACTCTCAGCCTCTTCTCAGTGAGGTTTTCGGATCTGTCCATTAAATGAGAAAAGCTTTGTGGCCTCTTAATGGAGGTTTAGCCGCCGGCATCTCAGGGTCAGACATGATTGTATTGTATTTTTTAAAACATGGACTTTCTTTAATGTAATCCAGTATTATGTTATGTTTTAGTGTTGGAATTTTCTTAGACTTGAGAATCGAAAGTGCTTAAGAAAAGCTCTATTAATAAACTTTATGATTCTATTTTACATTATTGATTAAAACTATCATACTTATATGTTTTGCTGTTGAAAAAAAACAATACTAGGACAAATGTATCATCAAGATCAGTTTAAGTCCAAAGCAATATTTTGTTTTTTCTTCTCACCTGAAGTTGCACTTTCCCTTCATTTGAGTTTTGTCAGTATATATTTGCTCAAGAATTGCCTTTTTTTAAAATCTTTCTTTGTTTTATTTTTTTTTCTCTCCATAATTGCAGTTTTGTTCATGTTTGTGTATAATTATGTGAGGGACATGAAGGATTCTCACCCCCTACTGATAAAATATAAAAGTACTGATAATAATAAATGGTTTTGCAATCAACTGTACTAACATCTCACCACTGTAATAAATAAATAAAGGGAACAACACATTTAAGGGCAAACTGTGTCATTTTTCTGAAGATGCTACCACATGCTGGTCTCCATGGAGATATTATTGCCTTGCCTGGAAAGTTCATACTATGGGTTTAAAAGTATCTTTCTTGTATATTAAATTACATCCATCCATCCATTTTCTTCTGCTTATCCGGGGCCAAGTCACGGGGGCAGCAGTCTAAGCAGGGACTCCCAGACTCCCTTCACCCCAGACACTTCCTCCAGCTCCTCCGGGGGGAGATGATCCTAGGACAGCCAAGAGACATAATCCCTCCAGTGTGTCCTGGGTCTTCACTGGTACATCCAGAACAGATGCCCGAGCCACCTCAGCTGCTCCTATGGGTCGTGGAGGAGGAGTGGCTCTACGCCGAGCTCCTCCCGTGTGACTGAGCTCCTCACCCTATCTCTAAGGGAGCGCCCAGCCACCCTGCGGAGGAAACTCATTTTGACCACTCGTATCTGCGCTTGTATCTGCGCTTGTATTTGTCCTTTTGGTCATTACCCAGAGCTCATGATGATGAGGGTCGGAGGGCGGTAAATCGAGAGCTTTGCCTTTTCAGCTCAGCTCCCTCTTCACCACATCAGCTCGATACAGCGACCACATCACTGCAGACGCTGCACCGATCTGCTATCCCGATATTAAACTACATATACTTTTATTACTGAAAAAAAAATACATTCTCGCTGTGAGCAGGGTCACCTCTCCACATTTTTGACCAGTAACTTAGTCTGGTGTCTCCATGAGGACAGATAAGTTTAATGCCATACTGTGGAAAATTTCACAGCATAACTTCCTCATGTATATGAGCAGGTGCGGGACCCCTCCACCAGAAGAGTTGCGCAATTTATGTTAGTGAAGTAAATGTCTAAACAAAAAAAAAAAAACAAAAAAATACAGTATACATTACTAGTGTTTTCATTGTTAGTTATTTACTGCCAACACACAATGACCTTAATCAAAACATAGACTGGATAATAAAATAATATAAGAATAAGAAAATATATAAGAATAAAATATAACAAAAGGTGCATTAACGCTTCATCACTACCATAGATTGTAGCCTATATTCAGTGTTGGGAAGGTTACTTTTAAAATGTATTCCCCCTACAGATTACAGATTACATACCCAAAATGTAGTTTGTAACAGAATCCATTAAATTACTTAAGGTGAGTAACGTAATCTGAATACTTTGGATTACTTGATTTGCTGTAGAGAAGCAAAGACTAGAACATCTTCACCTAAGATGTTTTGTCTGATAAATCAAAATAAAAAGCCCAGACTTTACTTAACCATATTAAAAATATTACTGATAGAAGAGGAGACACGGTCCACGCAGCATGATTTAGTCCTGTTAAATCCTGGTTTAGTCCTGTTAAATCCTGGTTTAGTCCTGTTAAATCCTGGTTTAGTCCTGTTAAATCCTGGTTTAGTCCTGTTAAATCCTGGTTTAGTCCTGTTAAATCCTATTTTAGAACTGGTTTAGTCTGTTAAATCCTGTTTTAGACCTGGTTTAGTCCTGTTAAATCCTATTTTAGTCCTGGTTTAGTCCTGTTAAATCCTGTATTAGACCTGTTTTAGTCCTGGTTTAGTCCTGTTAAATCCTGTTTTAGACCTGTTTTAGTCCTGGTTTAGTCCTGTTAAATCCTGTTTTAGACCTGTTTTAGTCCTGGTTTAGTCCTGTTAAATCCTGTTTAAGACTTAGTTTTAGTCCTGGTTTAGTGTCGGGCAATGAGTGGAATTACGGGGGGGAAAAAATTTAAATAAGGGGGATATCGCCCAAAATGTAAAAACAGGAAAATATCGCAGTGTAATCCATTTATTTCAACAAAGTAACTGTAATCCAATTACCACTCACTGAAACAGTAACTGTAACCGAATACAGTTACTCATAATTTGTACTCTGATTACGTAACTCCGGTACATGTAATCTGTTACTCCCCAACACTGCCTATATTAGTAAATAAAAGTCTATAAACAGAACTGGAGCGAAGAAATGTCTCCCTCTTGTGGGCTATAGAGGTAATACATTGTTGTGATTCCATAAGTTTCGTTTTCCTTTCGTCAGAAGCGATCTCGCCTTCCTTGTTTTTCTGCGCTCCCAGCGTTATTTCCCCGTACGTGTTGTGGTGCCATAGCCCGGGTGGGAGTCCTTTGGTCACCCTTACGCCTAAAAATGGAGACTGAAATCCTGAAAATTATTCTGCACAACCAGGGATCCGTGAATACAGAGGAGCTGATGTATAATTTAGGCGACAGCGCTACACTTACGGAAATTATCGTTCAGAATGACTTGTTCGTGTCGTGTTTGGTGAATCAGCGGCCTAAAGTTTTGGTGCGGACGCGTATGGGACTCTGCTGGACTCGGGACTGTCCGGGCTGCGGGCGTCTGCACCTGTGTTTGGGCTTCCTCTTCTCCGGGTACTGCCAGTTCAACCAGCTCAGGTAAACAGGCTGCACAATGCCCCCAACTAACACAGTAAATCACTTTGAATGAAATCTGAGTGGTTTGTATCACAGATTTGACTCTTGTTTACATGTTTATCTCCAGTTTTTCCCCGGCCAGATTCAGCCCATCTTTTGCTTTTTTTCCTGCTGCTGCAACTCATTCCCTAATCAAACAAACGCTGTTGTTGAGATTTTCCCAGTTTCAAGTTATATAATAAAGACGTATTTTTCTTAGTCGTTTATCAGCCAGATTTGTCAAATTAAATGTGCACTGGTGGAAGTCAGATCTGTGGCGAGGCAACCCCACTCTCAATGTTTTTCTAGGTATTTCTGAGCGGTAAATCCACCTGTAATTGAATAAACGTAAGGTAGAGCTGTTTAGTGTCATACTGTGCAGAGCAATGACATTTGCATGGAAACAAGCAGGTGACGGACCCTGTAACGGAAAAGTTACACAGTGCACCTTTAAGTTTTGGAACAAGGTTGAGTCATCACTTGAAACTTCCAAGCAGATTATCCAGCAGTGTGACTGTGATGTGGTGTTGTCCAGTGCCCAAAATAAGCAAATAAACTTTTATGATTTCTATGATTGTCCACTACAGGAACAAAATTCTACTTTAAAGATTCACTATGTAACTTTTCGTGTTGAGGATCCACCATTTGCCTGTCTCCTATCAGAAATCAGACCAAGTCATCATTTTGCAAGTCCCAAGTAAGTCTCAAGTCTTTGACTTCAAGTCTGAGTCAAGTCCCAAGTCAAAGACAGGCAAGTCCAAATAGAGCCTCGAGTCACTGACTCATAAGTCCAAGTCAAGTCCAAGTCGTCTGCTTTGAGCTTCAAGTCATTTCAAGTCTTTAAACCAAAGTACCAAATATAGCTTAGATTTTTGCAACTTATATGAATTTTAAGATAAATTGTACAAAAATAATCATAATATATTTATATATGAGTATTTATAGAGTATATAAGAGGTGTAAAAATCTAAATGTTTCCTTTTTAAATGTCTTGACAAGATCTTAGTGTGAATCATTACAGTCAGAATAGAAAGAATTCAGATTTAAAAGTGCTTCTCAAGTCACAGGCCTCAAGTTCAAGTCCCAAGTCATTGACCTTCAAGCCCAAATCGAGTCCCAAGTCGTAGTCCATTTTATCAAGTCAAGTCTGAAGTCCAAAAAATAGTGACTCAAGTCTGACTCGAGTCTAAGTCACGACTTGCAAGTCCCCACCTTTGTCTCCTATAGCATTTACCATATTGGAGACAAGCAGGTCATACCACTAGAGCCAAGTTACAGGTCAGATCTGTGGAGAGGCGACTCCACTCACAGTAAGAATGCGTGTTTTGAAGGTATTTTAAAAACTCTTATTAAGGAAGTACAATATCTAATAGCTTAGTGCCATACTGCGGAACATTCCTGTCAGGACACGAGTCAAGCAAACAGCACACCCTTCGCCAGAACATTTACATAGTGATAAACTAGTCCTAAAACCTTTTGAGATTGCTGTCTTAAAGGTGCATTGCGTAACTTTTCTGTAGAAGTGTCCGTCAAATGCAAAGTTAGAGGTCAGATCTGTGGAGAGGCAAGCCCGCTCACGGTCAGAATGCCTAGGTATTTCTGAGCTATAAATCTACCTGTAATTGAATAAATGTATGGTAGAGCTGTTTAATGTCACACTCTGGAACATTCCAGGCAGAGTAATAACATCTCCATAGAAACAAGCAGGTGATGGACCCTTCACCTGAAAAGTTGCACAATGCTCCTTTAAATAATTGGCAATAGTCACAGTTCTGTCTCTTGATGACAAAACTTGACATAATTTCTAACTAACTAACTAAATCTTTATTTAAATGTTTGTTGTGTTGTAGGAGAGGCTGTTCTTTCTCCCATGAGCTCCACTCTGAATACAACATGGAGGTCCTCAGAAAGTTCGGTCTGGAGACTCTGAGCAGGACGGATCTGTGTCTGCTGCTGCTACAAAGCCACCACTCACTGCTGCCTCAGGTAACTACAGGAACAAGAATCAGGAACAAGAATGACTTTATTATTTATGATCATCATGTGACTTTACAACACTAGACTAGAGGCTGCATTATGTTTAAAGGTCCTCCTATATTACGCAAATTTGACTCTTATGAACTTTAAGCCATGTTATAATCCTGTTACCTCCACAAAAACATACCTGGAGTTGTGTTTTGTTTCATTCACGCAGGTCTGAGAGTAATCCTTCATTATTAGTCTTTCTACATCTCCAATGCTCAAAATTCTTTGTTCTACCTTGTAATGTCATGAAGTGGTAGTTTTCAAGTTAACGGCTACTTTTTACCTTTTGTTTTACAGAGATTAGCATTTCAATTGTATATTTATTAACCTAAATATACAGGATTAGTGTGTTAAACATATGTGAATGAAACAAAACACACCTCTTTGTATATTTGTGATGAGGAAACAACATTATAACATAGATCACTAAATAACCTAATATGGGTTCTTAACTACATTGTTTCTCAAAGACTGGGTCGCAACCCTCGGGTGGGTCGCAAGATCATTTTTTGGGGTCGTCTTGTCACAATCTGCATGTAGCTCTGCAATAAACAGTTCTGACAATGATCTACGTGTTGCATTCTCCTCCTGCATCACGGACTGGAACGTGTTACAAAAACGCAGACCGGCCCACCTATCTTAATAGAAATGTTGAAATGTTAAGACATGTTTTGTATAATTTCTAATCTTTTTGTAATTATTTATTGACAATTTGTTCCAATATTGCTGGTTTAATTGAATGTTGAAAAGAAAAAGAAATGGGCTACATTTAATGTCCAAATAGGCAAAATACCGTATTTTTCAGACTATAAGTCACTATAAGTCGCACGAGCCAAAAAATGCATGATGAAGAAGAAAAAAACATATATAAGTCGCACTTTTGTGGGGGGAAATTTATTTTATAAAATCAGACACCAGGAACTGACATTTCATCTCGAAAGGCAAATTATAGTAATAACAACAGAACAGAGAACAACAGACTGTTAACGTCACATATGAACAGTTCTTCAGATAAATATAACATAAACAACAGAAATCAAATCCATTTGAACCAAACAAATCACTAAAACCATTGAATTCTTCATCCTCTGTGTCACTTCTGAGCAACTCCGTGACCTCCGGCAGTAAACGGAGCGCCGCTTCCTCTTCTGTGTAGCTGTCTTCAGACTCAGCATCAGTTCCAGTTAGAATTATTCCGTCCTTTCTGAACCCCGACAGGATGGTTTTGTTTGTCACTGAAGTCCAGGCTTGGTCGATCCGCCCAGTGGCTTCCAGGAAAGTTCTATGGCGCACCCTTCTGGTTATTATGAAGCTGTGCTCTCCATCCCCGCTTTCCGCCAGTCCCTCAGAAGTTTCTCACTCACTCCAAACTTTCTTTCTGCTGCTCGATTACCGTTTTTGGCTGAATATTTCACTATTTGCAGCAGAACAGAGGCTCTTTCTGCAGGAGACATGCGCAGTAAGGCGTCAAGTGATAGTGGTACAGGAGTAATAGGAGCAGCAGATACTGGCACACAAGTCTAGAGCCTCTCGAGCCTCAGTGTGAAAATTTTAATGTATAAGTTGCACCGTAGTATAAGTCGCAGGAAACGGAAACCATGAAAAAAAGTGGGATTTATAGTCAATATATGATTAATGTTCAGTAATGGTCAAATCCACCTTTATTTTGTGATTTACAAATGATGTCTATTGACATGGGTCGCAAAGATTTGTGACTTTTAAAATATGGGTTCCCAGAAAAAAGAAGTTGGGGAAACACTGCTTTACTTTAACAGTACAAACAAACTTGGATTGACTGATTGAAGACTAATAGGGTTGCAGTCTCAAAGTCTTTCTGTTTTTCTTTTTTTAAGATCTGCTATAAATACAACAGTCGTGCTGGTTGCCAAGACGACTGTAAGCGTCTGCACGTGTGTGACCGAATCGACTGCAACTGCCCCAGAACGCACGACTTCACCGCTCCACAACCCCTCAAACTACTGCAGGAAAAACGCATCCCCGACCATCTCATGAAGGTTTTAAAGACTGTGTACGCCAACAAGAACGCGCTAAGGTTCGCCGACAAACAAAAAGAGTTAAATAATGATTCGTCTGTGGAAAATTTTACCGGTTATGATTCGGATTCAAGCAGCGTTAGCGCAAAAGAGACTAGTGGTCGTGGGAAGAGAAGGGGAAGAGGAGGGGGAAGAGGAGGAAGAGGAGGAAGAGGAGGAAGAGGCAGGGGACAAAACAGAGCGCCCTCTCATGGTGACTCGGAAGATAGCACTACTACTGATCTAACTAACGACTACACAGAAAACAGTAACAGTAACCAAGACCAAGATACTACAAATGAAACGCTGCAAGATGGTTACGATTCAGATGCAAGCAGCACAGTTAGTACAGGGAACGGTAAAGAACACAGAGGTGGATATGCGAGGGGTAGGGGTGCTTTCCGAGGGCAGCGGGGTAATAGGAGAGGGAGCAACGGAAACTATAGGGGCAACTTTCGAGGTGGGAGAGGCAACAGGGGGGCTAGTGGGGGCAGGTCTGACAAGGTTGAGCGCGTACCTTCTGAAAATGACCTAAAGACAAAAGAAGAAGATCATCTGGGTGTGAACAGAAGCCAGGATCCTACTCCAAACAGTGAAACGTTAAGTGGGTTTGAGGCTGGCTCGGATAGTGGACAAAAGTATTCAAGTACTGGCGCGAACGGAAAAACCAGCAGCGCAAGCGACGTCAAAAAAACGGACGCAAACAGCAGTAATGGACCACCAAGAAAGCAAACAGGTAACAGTCTCTATGAAATGTTAAAGGGTCCATATTACGCTATTTTCTGATCTATGTTATAATATTGTTTACTCAGCAAACACATACCCAGAGTTGTGTTTGGTTTCGTTTACACATTTAACTAGCCAGGCTGGCCGCTCAAATTCATTTCTCTCTAGTGACTAGGTCAGGAATCAGAATACACTAGACAGTTTGCAAAAACCCCAGAAGTGTGAGTTCAGGCGCCAATCAATCAGAGAAGAGCCAGACATTTAATGTTGGCAACAATTCCTGAGATCGAAAATTTAAAGACGGAACAAAGAGAATGTTTGGTGAATTTTTTCAAGGGGAAAGACGTTATTGTCCTTCTTCCTATGGGATTTGGGAAAAGCTTAATATACCAGTTAGCCTCGTTAGTGGCGCATTACATACGTGACTACCAAACAGCAGCAATTGGTTAAATGATAAAAAGTACTCACCTAGGTCGAGGGAACAAATTCTAAGACTGCAAGGTCAGATGGTTTCTATGAAGTGAAACTGGCTGATGAAACAGGCTACTCCAGGAGGCCTATTGTTCAAAAATGTGATGGCCGAGGGCATCAGGGTTCTGCCAAAGCAGGTCCTCCTGCACCTGAGCGCCCTGTACCAGAGTCCTGAGGGCAGAGGGGTGAGATGTTCCTGTAGTAGGTGAGTGGAGTCCTGCTCTATGGAGAGTGCGATCTATTGTGTCTCTATGGAGACGATGAATTAGCAGCAACTGATTAAATTTAAAAAAGCATCCGCATACCATTGAGCGAACGAATTCTAATGCTGCGAGGTCAGACAGTTTCCACGAAGTGAAACCGGCTGATGAATCGTTTAACACCCACATCATGGAAATTTAGGCTGTGTTCTACTCTCAAACGGAAAGCACTCTGTTCCACCTCGTGATGTCATGTGATAATACAGGAAGTGCTCCACTGTGTTCTTAAACTCCACACACCTTCACTAGAATCATTTGGATACTTTCAGATCTGGAATTGCCAATCTCTTCTGAACAAAAGGTAAAAGCTGTTAACTTGAAAACTACCTCTTCATGACATCATAAGGTGGAACAGAGCATTTTGAGCTTTTTTAGGCAGATTAATAATACTTAAACATTAAAATTAATAATTACTCAAACATGTGTGAATGAAACAAAACACAACTCCAAATGTGTTTTTGATGAGGCAACAACATCACAACATGGATTTGTGTGATATCGGACCTTTAATGAAATAGATATGATTCTGGTTTCTAATTTGAATGTCTCTCTTATAGATAAAACCGAGATTTGCATGTTCTTCATAAAGGGGTACTGTAAACATGAAGGTAAGTAGTAAGTAAGTAGAGGAGGAGACAGAAAGTAAAGTAAACCACATTTTCTTTGAGGCAGCTTCTTTTTAAGTGGGAAGTTTTGCTGGTAAAATATTATAAAAAGTTGGTTGATTTGTACAAAATGTTCAAAATTCATGTGTACCAACAAGTCAACAATGCACTGATTCTCTGGAAGCCTTTAAAAGGTATTTACAGTCAGGATCGGTAGCCCCATGTAAAAAAAATACAACCAGAATAGAGTTAGAGTTACTTTTTGAGTGAACATTTTGAAATATCAAGGTGCACAGTGTAACTTTTCTGGTAAAGGGCGTGCCAGTTACTTGTCTTCATTGAGATGCTATTGCTTTACCTCCAATATTCCAAAATATGGCATTAAACCTTTCAGTCTCCATAGAAACCAAGCAAGAGACACCACCAGGCCAGTTTACAGGTGAGATCTGTGAAGAGGCAACCCCCCTCACAGTCAGAATGCATGTTTTTAAAGGTGTTTTTGAGCCATAAAAACACCCATAATTGAATAAATGCATCTTATATAAATTTAACACCATATTGTGGAAGATTACAGGCAAAGCAATAGCATCTCCATGGTAACAGACCCCCAACCTGAAAAGTTAAACAGGGCACCTTTAAAAAAACACAACATATAGTATCTAAACTTGGAAAGACATTCAAAACATGTACCAATTAAAGGTCCATTATGTAACTTTTCTGGTGGAGGGTCCGTCAAATGACTTTCTCCAAGCAGATGTTATTGCTTTGTCTGGAATGTTTCACAGTATGGCATTAAACCTTTCTATCTTCATTAGGGGTGTGCAAAAATATTGAAATATCTAAATATCGCATTGTTTTAATGTGATGATACAGTATCGATATCGTGGGCTGCTATATTGATATATTGGCAAGAGTATTTTTTGGTGTATTTAACAAAATTATTTTGTTACAGTTCTACAGTTTTGTTGCTTGTTGAGAGGAAGGAAACTCATTTATGTAACATATTTGACATTTTCACTGTTTTGTTGATTAAAATGTTTGTGTTTCATATGAACTTTGCACGAGAAGTGGTTTAACAAAGACTTTTAGTATCGCAGCCATGACTTAGCATTTATTTTTTATTGAATTGTATCGAATCGATTTGAAATAAATCGTATCGAATCAAAAGCTAACCGTATCGAGATATGTATCATATCGTGGCCTACGTATTGAGGTCCATATCGGCAATTTCTTAATAATACCCAGCCCTAATCTTCATGGAGACCAAACCAGACCAAGTTACAGATCAGATCTGTGGAGAGGCAACCCCACTCACAGTCTGAATATGTTTTTCTAGGTATTCATGAGCCATAAAACCACCTGTAATTGAATAAATGTAAGGCAGAGCTTTTTAGTGTCATACTGTGGGACATGTCAGGCAGATCAATGATATCTCCATAGAAACAAGCAGGTGACAGACAGAAAAATTACATAATGCACCTTACACCGAACAAATAATAGCATAAAATAATAATAACAATACAATAATCTCTTCTTCAAATTTGAGTGACTGGTGGGTTTAAGCTCAAGTTTTGGAGTAATTTTTTTTCAGATTTGTTTCATGTGGTTCTTGTGTGTGCCTCAGCTCGCTGTTCCAAAGCTCATGACAAGATGCCGTACAGATGGGAGATCAGGAGGGGCGGTCAGTGGACTTCTATGGCTGAAAATGAGACCATAGAGAAAGACTACTGTGACCCTGAAAAAGTTTACAGGTAACTTTGAGTTAAACAACACCTTACGGCAGCTATAATATATGGAACGATAGATAAGTCGATATAGTCAACGAATGTTCTATCTGTGCAGCACTACCAGTCCTCCTGTGCATTTTGACACAATGACATGTGGATCTGACGAAGTGAGGCGTCTCTCTACTGAGAACTCTGTCCTGCAGCCAGGCTTCATCCACACCACAGACTGGCTCTGGTACTGGGAGGACGAGCGCGGCACCTGGTACCAGTATGGTGCTGTGGTAAGGCAGCGTCTTCAAGGTCCTATATTACGCAAAAGTGACTCTTGTGAGCTTTAAGCCATGTCAGAATTTTGTCACATCATCAGAAACATAGCTTTAGATAAGTGTAGTTGTTTCATTCATTCAGCATCTCCAAATCTCAAAATGCTCTGCTCCACCTTGCGATGTCATGATGATTGTAGCCAAGCGTGATGGATGAAAGTAACTAATTGTTTACGGAACGAACCATTCTGCACTGGAGCACTGTAACACTTTATTTTTTAATTGTGTTTTTATTGCACATAATGTGGATGAATGAAATATGAAATGTGGGACCTGCCTCTCAAATCTGCAAAACAAATTTACCTAAGGGTTCGAATAAAGCAATCTAACCTAAGTAGTTGGCAGTTTAACGCTACCTTTTACCTTTTGTTTAGTAGAGATTGGCAGTTCCATAACAGATATTATCCAAATGATTCTATTGAAGGTGCATGGCGTTTGAAAACACGGTGGAGCACTTCCTGCATTAATACATGACATCACAAGGTGGAACAGAGTCTTTTGAGAAGTTTGAGAGAAAGCCTAAATATGCAGGTTTTTGTGTTAAATGTGTGAATGAAACAAAACACAACTCCAGGTCTGTTTTTAATGAGGAAACAACATTTTTATAACAGATCAGAAAATAGTGCAATATGGGCCCTTTAAATCTATTTTATCTTTTACTTTTACAAATCTAAAGCTAAAGATGTCTTTCAAATGCTGCACTTGGTCACCTACAAAACAAAATTCCTTATGTTGGTACAATAATGTCTTTTTAGTTTCATAATTATAAGTTAAAGGTGCACTATGTAACATATCTTGTGGGGGTCTGTCACCTGCTTGTCTCCATGGAGATTATTATTGCTTTGGCTGAAATGTACCACAGTAGGACCTGTTGACGTCACCTACTTCACCTCGTTACAATAAATCATTTTACTGCAATACTGTGCAATACATTCCTGGAGGTAAAGGTGCACTGTGTAACATTTCTAGTGGAAGGTCCACCGCCTCTAGCCTGATTCATCAGCCGGTTTCACTTTGTAGAAACCGTCCTTGCAGTGTTACAACTCGTTCGCTCGACGGTAGGCGGATACTTCATTTAACCAATCGCTGCTATTTGGTCGTGACGTATGTAATGCACCATTAACAGGGCTAACTGGTATATTAAGCTTTTCCCAAATTCCGTAAGAAGAAGGACAATAACGTCTTTCCCCTTGATAAATTCACCAAACATTCTCTTTGTTCCGGCTTTAAATCCTCAATCTCGGGAATCGTTGCCAACACAGAATGTCTGACTCTTCTCTGATTGGCTGGTGCCTAAACTCGCACTTCCGGGGGTTTTGCGAACCATCTAGAGTATTCCGATTCCTGACTTAGTCACTGGAGATAAATGAAATTGAGCAGAGGCACGAGGTGGCGCCGACTTGGCTACACCACCTCCTTGTCTCCATGGGAATGTTATTGCTCTGTCTAGAATGTTCCACAGTATATATTAAACTTATCTATCATAAAGGAGAGAAGCAGGTTACAGCACTATGTTACATTACAGTTCAGATCTGTGGAGAGTCGCCCCTATTCACAGAAGGAATTATTGTATTTTTGAGCAATAGAAACACACAAAATGAATAAATACAAAATGTATGTGTTTAATGTCATACTATGAAACATTACAGGCAAAGCAATAACATCTCCACAGAAACAAGCAGGTACCGGGCTGTCCACTGGAAAAGTTCCATAGTGTCACTTTAAGATTTTAGATGGTTCACTATTTGCATTATGTGTTTCAGACAAGCGAACATCGTTTAGCCTCCATCACCAGTAAAGAGCTGGAGGAGATTTATCAACACAACAACAAGGATGTGGTGACGTTTACTGCAGGTCCACAGTCCTATGAACTCAGCTTTCAAGGTAAATTTATATATGAACCTTACTAATTAATTGTGTCTTTAAATTTAAAGATAGGGTATGTACTATTTCTATTTCTAAATTCACAAACATGACATATATTTATCCCAAAATACAGGGTAAACTTGAATCAGAATCAGATATAGCATTTCAAACAACAGTTGTCATGCTGAGTTATTGTTAATTACAAAAACACTGGATGCCATGGCCAGGTTGATGTTTTAATTTTGTGTTTTAGTTCTCAAGTTTATTATCTACCGTATTTTTTGGACTATAAGTCACACTTTTAAGCGTTTTTTTCTGTAGCGATTCTGTTATACATCGCATCTTGGAAAAAAAGACTGAAATATTTTAAAGGACTGGCCTGGGCAACATCCAGATTTCAGGGCAATTTTGGTTCATAATCGAGTATAAAGCTCAGATAGTTTGTTCGGATATCGCAGGACTCCACACAGATGCATCAGCGGCATTCTCATCTTCTCCCCGAAAGTCCGTCGCTATCACTGTTTTCCACTTTATAATCAACTTCAACATCATCACTTTGAAATCTATAAAAGTCACTTTCTCTAAACTTATCCATAAAATACGTCCGCTCCTCATTATTTCTAAAACTGTGCGCCGCAGCGCCGCGATCTTTCCATTGCACGTGTTTCGTGTTGTGTTTTTCCGGAAGCTGCCATCGTCACTATTTCGATTAACTTCGGAAAAAATCGGCGAAAACATATCTTTGAATCCTATCTCAGTCTAGTCTCTACCTAAACCCCAGCACCTACAGACAATCATGAATAAGTGCTAGTGCAGCTTCTGCAGCTCAGTGATACGGCGGAGGTGTCTGAAAAGTCGTCAATTTCACATGAGGGGGTCGTCAAAGGTCTCTCCCTTTAATAAAGCAATGTATTAAATTCATCCAATGATTTTCTCAGACATGATTCAGACAAATTTAAAGTACAGCACCAAGAGGCTGGTGAGGAGGAGACCGAAGTTTGTCTCTGCAGCTGAAGTCCAGACAAAAAGGTACGGCTCATTCACTTAAACGGTCCATATTACATTATTTTGTCATCTGTGTTATAATGTTGTTTTCCTTATCAAAAACATACAGGGAGTTTTGCTTGGTTTTAATTACACATGTGACAGACACAAACCCTGCATATTTAGGCTGACAAAAACACTCAATTTGTGATGTCATGTGGTAATACAGGACATGCTCCACTGTGTTTTTAAACTCCTTATTCCTTTACTGGAATCATTTGGATAATTTAAACCCATAAACATAAAAAGTAGCTACACTACATGACTTGGACATATTGACAGACTAATAATAAATGGTTTACTCAAATATGTGTGAATGGAACAAAACACAACTCCGGGTCTGTTTTTGAAGAGGTAACATTATAACGGCTTAAAGCTCACAACAGTCAATTTTGTGTAATATAGGACCTTTAAATATGAAATATGAGGAAGAGTATGACATTATAACCACTGTTTTCTGTTGTAGAAAGCGCCCCCCACACTCCAGTGCTGTGCCGGACCACTGGGACAAAACGCAGATCCCTCAAATCGGATTTAAGGTAAAAGTTTGTGCTGTAGTGGCAACCAAGAGGCCAATACCCCTGAGAACCAAATAATTAAATAATCTGTAGACACTGTAAAAAGACACATATATGTTATGACAGGAAATAAATAAATTAATAGATGAGACCAAGATTATAGCGTTATATATTGCCAAGTCTTCAGACATAGAAAATAACAACGTACTACAAACGACGAGAGTGCAGCTCAGGACCCCAGTCTTCTGTACATCTCCATCGCAAAGCCACTAACCATTCCTTTGAAGATAGTGAGGTGCAGATCTTAGCCAAAGAAAAGAAATGGTTTGAGAGGGGAGTTAAAGAGGCTGTTATTGTTAGAAAAGACAATCCATCTTTGAACAGAAATGGAAGGCTTAGACATCATCTCTCTCTTCTGTTTACAACGCCATCCTCAGACCCTCAATGAAAACAAAGAAAACAATAGTGATAACCAGTATGATAAGAGGTTGAGATTAGGGGCCTGAATGATCATGCTAATATGACTCACAGGCCCAACTTAATGCAGTTCAAAAGCCCGAGCTAACAAACAGAAACTGTAAATCAGTAGGTGTGTTAGTTTCACAGTAGTTTCAGTGTAGTTAGCTCCGACCCTTCAGGCAGATATAAGGCAGTGTCCACCAGCATCTGACCAGAACTGAAGAAGTTGCAAAACCCTGAAGATGTGAGGTGAAACGTCTTCACTCTAAAACTGGTCTCCTTCTTTTATTCCAGTTGACAGAATTTTTTTTTTTTCTTTTGCAAAGTACTATAAAGACACGACAATTTCCATCATGCTGTTTATCTAGAGCAGTAGTGAATAATACATTTAGGAAACAAATTCTTGACTTTCTCTGATGTTTTGGAGCTGTCCACCATGCTATAATATTGTTTCCTTATCAAAAACATGCCTGAAGAAGTTTTATATGACATCCATGCATCTAGTGATCTTTCTCGGGCTCTACTAGAACCAGGCTGTTGACCGTGACACCCTCATCAGAAAAATGTCCAACATGAGAAAAATGGAGCCGAGTGCAGAGATTTTACAAGAAAAATTGACTTATTCCTGTTTACATACAAGTTCATGTTAAAACATTGTGTTGAAATTGAATTTTTCTTAAAGTTTCAGGTTGTTCATAATATTATAATATTATAATAAGAAAGAGTTCATCAATTAAAAAAGATTTCTGTAATAGATTTGCGTTTCTCTGCACAAATATTTGAACTTATTGTTATTTTTGGGGTTTATATGACATGAGTTTTCTGATCCGGCCCCTTTGGGATCAAAGCAGGTTGGATACGGCCCCCAGACCAAAATGAGTTTGACACCCCTGCTCTAGACGGTGGGCAAAAACCCCGGAAGTGCGAGTTCAGGCACCAGCCAATCCACGAAAAGCCATACATTCTGTTTTGGCAACGATTCCCAAGATTGAGGATTTAAAGCCAGAACAAAGAGAATGTTTGGTGAATTTTATCAAGAGGAAAGACGTTATTGCCCTTCTTTCTACAGGATTTAGGAAAAGCTTAACATACCAGTTTGCCCCGTTAGTGGCGCATTACATACATCACGACCAATTAGCAGTGACTGGTTAAATGACAAAAAGTACCCGCCTAATGTCGAGCAAACAAATTCTAACGCTGCGAGGTCAGATGGTTTCTACAAAGTGAAGTCAACTGATAAATCAGGCCAACTCCTTATGGTACGAGCCTGTCCAAGACTCAGCCCCTCAAGTCTACGTCAACCATTCTCCTGCTCATGAGTTTTCCATAATTGTCCTACAAAAGCATGAAACTAATGATACAAAACAATCTAATACAACTTCACAAACCTGGTGCAAAGTACAGTAGTCTCATTATTGGAACACCCGCTGATTGTGTTGTGATCGAGTGACTTAACGCAGGGAGCAAGGGAAGTTGAGACTAAAACCAATTCCATATATTGATGCTGTTTTCCATGAATATCGCATTTTCAAAAGAATAAAATGCACCACGGAGATCTAAATATATTATGTGTCAACAATTAATACCCTGTAGAAGTGTAATACTTTAAATACTTTTACTAAACCAAATATGTGGATGGTAAACTTAACAATGACAGCTCATTTATACAAACTGTTTAATTTATTTCCATTAAACTGTGTTATTGTTTCTTGTTTGTTCGTAGAGAGTACAGCTGCAGCCCTCATCGGCGGAGTATAAACATATTCAAGAACTTTTCAATCAGACCATGGCTTCTTCTGAAATCCTTAAAATTGAAAGGATTCAGAACAGAGCCGTGTGGGAGAACTTTCAGCTGTACGTGATTTAAAATAAGATATATAATAATGTATGTTTATAATTAATTATTATAATCTAAAGGGATTTTTTTTTGTTACAGGTGCAAGACTCATATGAAACAGAAAAATGGTGGACATCCCGTGTTGGAGAAGCAGCTTTTCCATGGGACTGAACCAAAGTTTGTGGACCCCATTTGTGAAACTAACTTTGACTGGAGAGTGTGTGGATTCAACGGGACGGTTTATGGAGAAGGTCAGAGTTCATAGTTTCATAAAAGTTTCATATTGTTATAGTGTGATATGTGTACCTAATACACTTGCCTGAACATAGAGTTACTGATATGTTGGGAAGAATACAGTATTTTTCCGGACTATTGAATGCACCTGAATATAAGCTGCATCAACTAAATTTTAAAATTGTACATATATACGTCACACTTGAATATAAGCAGCATGTGTCCACGTCTTCAAGAACGTTTTCAAGTTCGGGCCGTCTGCTTTTATCTCCTCTGAAAGTTTTTGTTATCTTTTTGCATTGAGTCAGTTCGTTACGCTGCCTTTGCCTAAATCTCACTGTCGACTCACTGATGCTGAGCTCGAGTGCAGCGGCTCAATTTCCTTTTTCGACAGCCATTTCCATCGCCTTTAACTTAAAAGCTGCATCTGCATCATCTGCATTTCTTCGTGTGTTTTCCATGAGGAGGGTGTGTGTATGAAGCCCAAAATAACTGTTCAAAACACAATCAAACGAGCATCTTCCTCGGCGCATCACCCGTCTCTCCCTGCGCTCCACTGTGCTTGTCTCCTGCAGAAAGAGTCGCTGTCCTGTCTTTTGAGCAACAGATCCCAAATATGTACATGTACATATCCTTGTTTTTTTAGTTTTTTTTTTATTGTTGTTGATTTTGTTGCACCTTGCTTCAAATTAATCAATCATAGACTAGTATACGGCCATGGACCACTATGAAACCTACCTGGACGACTGAGGGATTACACAGATATAAGGCAGTGCTTCTCAATTATTTTCTGTCATGCCCCCCCTAGGACGAATAAAACAGCTCGCCCCCCCCCCCCCGCGTGACTATAGATAGTATCATTTGTCTATAAAATTGTTATAAGTACACCTGTGCGTAACACTGCCACCTTATATGACGCCAACAATGCTCGCTGGTTTACTGAAGTAGCAGTCACAAGCGGGATGATTGTCGGCAATATTCGGCACGTTTTCGCTGAAAAAACTCAAGCGGCTTATCAGAGTGATTGGGGTGTAATGTATTTAAGTGACGCCTTAATTTATTGGGCTTCATGCTGTCCGCTGCCAACATTTTTAGACACAGTAACACACCGGTCTTTCCTCGTCTCCCACCGTAGTCACAGTGAAGCCAAGCGCTACATACGCTTCGTCATATTTCCTCGTCTTAGCTTTCAGGAGATTTTCGTTTGTCTCTTTATCTCCGTCTCTCTCCGTCTGTCTTCTCATCCCTGTTAAATATTTTTTCATGGTGTCACTTGAGCGTCTGCTACACTTCGTGTCTACACTTCATACTCAAACTCTGTGCTGTGTGCAAAGCGCGCATGCTCAGTGCAAACAAAACTCCTACACCACCGAGCGAATGCTCCCTGCGCACACTCTGCCAATGAGAGCGCTCTGCCCCCTAATGTAGTGGAAGTGCAATTGCACTTTATTCTAAAGGCCCGTTCAGACCAAAGCGTCAAAGCGTCCACTTTCTATGTAAAGTCTATGTGGACGCGCGACTAGAGCGTCCTGCGTTTTTGCGGCGCGTTTTCGCGCGCGTTTTCGGCGTCAGCGCAGCGCGTCTTCAGCGTTTTGGCGTCAGCGGCCAAGACGCGCGTCCAAGGCGTCAGCGTCAAGAAGTTGAAAATGCTGAACTTTTCGCGTCAGACGCGCCGCGTCAATCAATCAGGGACGAGTATCCAGAGACGCAGCGACGTTATTATCAGGAAGAAAGACCCGAGAACCAGAACGAGAACCACAAACATGAACGGAGAATAAATATATACGCCACAATCACCGAGCCGATCGCGAGGACTACACCAGGACCGGACCAGGACCAAACCAGGACTAGACCGAGACTAGACCGAGACTAAACAAGGACTAGACCGGGACTAGACCGTGATTAGACCAGGACTAGACCGGGACTAGACCGGGACCAGACCGGGACTAGACCGTGATTCGACCAGGACTAGACCGGGACTAGACCGTGATTAGACCAGGACCAGACCGGTATTAGACCAGGACTAGACCGGGACTGATCCAGTGTCATTAGCGGAGTATAAATATATATACGCCCCAGTCATCGACTCGATCTCCTCCGTTGATGTTTTATGTCATAAAAACACTCTGTCAGTCTGGTCTGACATTGTTTCGGGAAAAGACCGGGACCGGGCTCTTGTTTCCAGGACAACGGACGCGCGTCAAGTATTTTTGTCCCGTTCGTCCACGGCGTCAAAGACGCGCGTTGGGGGCGTCTAAACTCAAATGCAAAGGCTCCAAATAGAGGCGACAAGGCGTTTTTTGACGCTTTGGTGTGAACGGCCCTTAAGACAGTAAAAAAAAATCAAAATAAAAAAATAAAAAAGCATGTTCCCCGAGGTCAAACGCGCCCCCCTTGACGGAGCCTCGCGCCCCCCACTATTTGAGAAGCACTGATATAAGGCCACGTGTAAAAGAAAGTACTATGATTTAATGTTGAAAATCACATTCTATTGTTTAAAGAAAGGGTGTTTTTTATTATCAGTCAGAATCAGTATTGAGTATCAAGTTTAAGCCTCAGTATCGAAATCATGTGAAATTGTAGTATCATGACAGCACTAGTAAAACGCTGTAATTGGTTCTCTAGTGCTAATCTACACACTCCTATGTTTTTACTACAGGAAGCTACTTTGCACGCGACGCCAAGTACTCCCATGACTACACCGGAGACAGCGATCCACGGTTCATGTTCGTGTCTCAGGTTTTGGTCGGAGAATTCACCAAAGGCTCTAGGGAATACAAACGCCCTCCTTCTAAAGACGGAGGACACGTGAACTTGTTTGACAGTTGTGTGGATGACATCTACAATCCTTCAATATTTGTGGTGTTTAAGCAGCAGCAGATCTACCCCGAGTACCTGCTTCAGTACAAACACTCAGGCAGAAGTAATGCATATGCTCAAAGAAGTACTAGCAGTTTCTATGGTCAAAGTACTAGCAATTTCTATACCCAAAGCAGTAGTCAGCCCCCGTACACTGCGTATAATAATGTACCTCCACCCTCTTTCTATACTCCATCACGCTCAACCTCAAGACCCACCTCTTCACCCACATCAAATAATAACCAAAACTCATGTGTCATTGCGTAAAGTGAGGCAGTGGTTAAAAGTACATTGTGTAACTTTTCTGACGGACGGTCCGCCACCAGCTTGTCTTCATGGAGATGTTATTGCTTTGCAGAGGTTGGGGCTTGAAAGTCTTGACTTGGACTCGAGTCAGACTTGTTTTTAGGACTTGAGACCTGACCTGATAAAATGGACGAGAAGCACTTTTAAAACTGAATTCTTTCTATTCTGACCGTAATGATTCACTCTAAGATCTTGTCAAGACATTTAAAAAGGAAAAAGGAAAATTTCTACAACTCTTACATACTCTATAAATACTCATATATAAATATACTGTGATTTTTTAAGTACATATTAGTTTAAAACTCATATAAATTGCTCAAATCTAAGCTATATTTGGTACTTTTTTGGTTTAAAGACTTGAAATGACTTGAAGCTCAAAGCAGACGACTTGGACTTGACTTGGACTTATAAACCAATGACTCAAGACTCGACTTGGACTTGCCTGTATTTGACTTGGGACTTGACTCGGACTTGAGGTCAAAGACTTGAGACTTACTTGAGACTTGCAAAACAGCGACTTGTTATGGTTGTTTCTATTGCTCAAAAATACAATAATTCCCTCTGTGAATAGGCGCGACTCTCCACAGATCTGACTTGTAATGTAGCGTAGTGCTGGAACCTGCTTGTGCGCATTTGATAAACAGTTTCCAAAGTGCTGCACAGACAAATTAAGACAAAAATCATAAATAAAAATAAAATAAAATAAACATTAAAAACATAAAGCAAAAAATAAATAAAAATTTATAAAAGCAATTAAAATAAAATAAAATAAAATAAATAAAAGTCTACACAACTCCCACGGTGTTAAAATCCAGAGAATAAAAGTGGGTCCTAAAGGGTCTATATTATGCAATTTACTGATCTGTTATAATGTTGTGTGAATGAAACAAACACAACTCCAGGTATGTTTCTGATGAAGGCACATGTTCAACACACAAACCCGGCATATTTAGGCTGAGCTTTTCTTTTAGACTGAAAACACTGTTCCACCTTGTGATGTCAGGTGGTAATACAGGAGGTGCTCCACTGTGTCCACACACCTTCTCTAGAATCATTAGGACAAGTTCAGCCCTGGAATTGCCAATATCTACTGAACAACAGATAAAAGGGACTCAAACGTGTGAATGAAACAAAACACACTTAAAGCTCACACGAGTCAATTTTTCACAATATCGGACCTTTAAATATTATTGGCTTATAGAATATTGTGATGTTGTCTGAAACCCACCAGTAGTTGAATGTCAGATCTATGGAGAGGTGGCCCTGCTCACACAGTGCATGTTTTCATTCCTCTTTACATCCACTAAAATTTGTAATTTTTGCACTCATTAAAACATGTCCAAAACATCCATGTGTAGTGTATGATGCTTTTGGAGAATATTTAATATGCACAAAAAACAAGATAATCTATTTTTGATTGTATCTTGACTGTATCTATTTCAATTAAAAATAAATAAAATAAAAGAGTCATCTGACCATGTTTACTGTCATGTCACAGTTTTGTAATCACTGGGGCAAAACCTTTCACACATACAGTATTTCTTTCTAAAGGCCACGTCATTACCCTTGCTAATTTGAATATACTGTGGTTACTAAATAATAAAAAATATTATAATAAAAATGAGAATGTAGGCCCACTTTCAGATGTTCATGTCTTTCTTTTACTTGACACATATGGAAGGAGTGCTCAATTTTGTCACTTGTTAAAAGTACAGATACTGGAGCAGATATTGGAGAAAGAAAAAGCTAGATTTTTTCATATGATACTTTTACTTTTGTAAAAGCATTAATAAAACTCACAGAATATCAAATGTGAGTAGTTCATTACATTTGCATTTACTTACAAAAAAGTACTACAGTCCTAAATAATGACTGATGAGTGAAATAGGATTCTCTAGCTATTCAAAGAATGAATATGTGACAAAAACATGAAGACAATTACTTGTAGCGCTGCATATCAACTTTAAACGCAAATGTGCAAGCGAGCAGCACTCCACAAGTACTACAGTCCACACAACAGTGTACAAATATACACACAACAGTGTACAAATGTGTACAAATATACACACAACAGTGTACAAATATACACACAACAGTGTACAAATACACACACAACAGTGTACAAATATATACATGTAGCACTTGTGGTCGGATAAAGAGGCTTCAGAGAGTGTATATTTACTTCCATTTAATGCCGTATGCACTGAAACACAAGAGACACATTTATGATCACGCTATTCATGTCAAGGCACACTTTACAATTAGGACCCGCGAGCCCCCCCCCCCCCCCCCCCCCCCCCCCTTCCCCTGCCTGCGTGTATCCCCAGCATATCTCCTGTCTACAATCGTATCCGTTTCTTGTGTCCATGAAATATAAAAAAAATACAATTTCCTTTGTACAAATTTGGTATAAAATAATTTTAAAAATAAAATGAGGTGGGTGGTGCTTTCTACTTCATTACCATTACAGTGCCTGCTTAATACTATTGGTCCCACATACACAACAGTGTACAAATATACACACAACAGTGTACAAATATACACACAACAGTGTACAAATATACACACGTAGCGTGGTGTGTTTTCCGTAGCTAACAAATACACTTTTACATCGTGTGGCAACATTAAAGTTACCGTACAAACTTCTCAAAGCTCCGTTTTAAACACCAGTAAATGTGAGAGTTGTCAAACTGTAAAACACAGGAAACGTGCTGAAATAAAAGAGTTGATCGCGGGAGTTTGCCGCGTTGTGGCTCTCAGACCCAGTAATAATATCCCCAGTAGCCAAAAGCAGCGCACCAAACTCACCTGAAGCCTGCCACACCCTGACCCCAAAACTGTGTAATCAATCGTTACTGTTGCGCCCAGCGGGGGAACTCAATGCACAGGCCGATGCATTTGAGCCGGTCACGGGCCCCCGCTCGGATTTATGTGGTGAAGGTAGATCCCGTAATATATGATGTATAATACTTGAGGGTTTTTTTTTTTTTTTGCAAACACTGTAATTTGAATAAGTTTATTGTCTAAATAGTTTTTCAATTTTCAGATTGTTGTGAAAAGCAGAAGTCCAGTTTGGGAGCAGAAATATAAAGAGGTTTGCTGATGCTGCTGGTGACGCCCTCGTAGCTGCTCGTGTCATGTCAAGTGCCCTGGTCAGACCTGAAATAGGCTCATATTGGTTCTGTCGTTTCTGCTTTGACTCTGCACACCTGACTGGGCGACAGGAGGAGAGGCACTTAACTTAAAAGATTTTCAAGAAGTTTACTACACACTGTAACTCTAACTTCCTCTGACCTTCCTCAGACCTTCCCTCCTTTCCTGAGTTAAAACCAGAAAAGAAAAGCCAGACTGAGACAGCACGCGAGAGTCATATTGATTGTCCAAAATAAATAACAAAGGTGTATTATCCAATGTCCACTGTCCAATTTATTTTCTCGCCTGGCGAGAATATATTTGAAAATACATTTTTGGGTTTGATTGACCCGCCCTAAGAGCGCGGGAAGGAAAAAAAAAATCTTTCTTCGGGTCAATGTGACCCCGAGGAGAGCGTGAGGGGTTTAAAGTATGATAAAGATGTGTGCTGTATTTTGTTCAAGAGAAACAACTGAATCAAACTTTTTTCCTGGCTGTTTCTCTTTGTATATTTTTGGACTGAGAAGTAAAGTAAAAAGTATCCACTTTAAAATCTACTGAAGTAAAGTACTGATAATTTATATTTAAGCACAGTACTATACTTCGTTACGTTTCACCACTGCATATTTGTGTTATACATAAGTTAAAATATAACTTTTAACTAGTACCATCATGGTGATTTGTCTAAATATGGTGTAGTCAAAGTATTCTATTGTATTTTTACTTTTTTCTAAGCAATACACTTGGTAATATTTGCTGACATAAACTTTCTGATGGTCTTTGAGGTCCGAGGGTCAGCTCCAGCTCATGGGCCCCAAAATGAAACTTAAAATCAGGGGGGACAGGGCCTTCTCTGTGACCGGCCCCAAACTCTGGAAAGCTCTGCCCCCCCACACGTCCGAACAGCCCCCACAGTGGAGAGTTTTAAGACCCACTTTTATTCTCTGGCTTTTAATACTGCGTGAGTTGTGTGTTATTTATTTATTTATTGTTTTTTATCTATTTTATTTTTTAGTACTGCTTTTATGTATTGATTTCATTATTTTTGTTCATTGATTTTATTATTATTATTTTATTTATTTATTATATTAGTTTCTTTACGGTTGAAACATAATTCTGCAGATTTTTTTTTTTTTTTTTTAAGTAAAATGTTTTGCATTGCTACGTGAAGCACTTTGGAAACTGCTTTGTTTATAAAATGCGCTATACAAATAAAGTTGGATTGGATTGGATAGTCTACTGGTGTACGTAGACTATCCAGTAACGAATCCAATAACGAAATCAACCAATGCGTTATTTATAAACCTTCAAACTTTGAAATTGTATGATTTATTCGACCTTTATACTCTGAAAATCATGTTCAAAGTAAACAACAATCTCCTGTCAAAATCTTTACAGAACATGTTCAAAATCCGAAAGAGCCAATATGAGCTCAGAGGCACGACCATGTTTATCAAAAAGAAAATTAGAACAAACATTATGAAATTTTGTAAATCTGTTAAAGGGGTGGAGCTCTGGAACAACTGTAAAGAAAACCTAAAATTGTGCACCAGTTTCTTTCACTTTATAAAGAAGTTTAAATGTTTAACTCTGGACAGATACATGAAATATGATAGTTTGTTTGTGCTGTAGAACTTTGTTGTACTGTTTCTGATTTGTTTGTTTGCTCTTGCTGTATTTATGAAGATGAACTGGTGTTAAGATGATGCTCTGACAAAGGAATAAAGGGTAAAGGCCAGTGTTGGGAAGGTTACTTTTAAAATGTATTCCCCTACAGATTACAGATTACATGCCCCAAAATGTAGTTTGTAACAGAATCCATTAAATTACTTAAAAGTGAGTAACGTAATCTGAATATTTTGGATTACTTGATTTGCTGTAGAGAAGCAAAGATGAGGAAATCTTCACATAAGAAGTTTTGTCTGATAAAAGACAATAAAAAAGCCCAGACTTTACTGAACCAAATTAACATTAATATAATATTAATATTATTGATAGAAGAGGAGGAAACACGGTCCATGCAGCATGATTTAGTCCTGTTAAATCCTGTTTTAGACCTCGTTTAGTCCTGGTTTAATCCTGTTTTAGTCTTGGTTTAGACCTGGTTTAATCCTGGTTTAGTCTTGGTTTAGACCTAGTTTAGACCTGGTTTTAGATCTGGGTTAGGTCTGGTTTAGACCTGGTTTTAGACCTGGTTTAGTTTCCGGCAATGAGTGAAATTACCAAAAAAAAGGGATATAGCCCGAAATGTGAAAACACGAAAATACCACCGTGTAATCCATTTATTTCAACAAAGTAACTGTAATCCAATTACCACTCATTAAAACAGTAACTGTAACCGAATACTGTTACTCATAATTTGTACTCTGATTATGTAACTCCGGTACATGTAATCCGTTACTCCCCAACACTGGTAAAGGCATAATAACCTTAAGCTTCAGCCTACACCTTTTCGGTCTGTGTATGTTAAATATGACTGTCTGTGAATTAATGTCAAAATATACCTGTGACCGAAATAAATAAATAAATAAAACATAAAAGAATACCTTATCTTACTTTATACAATAACGCCCCCTGGTGGATCACTTTTGCAACTCGGTCTCATGAAATGAAATGGTAAGTTTCAGTTTCTGGTTATGAGAAAGACGCGCGCTCCTCTTCACGCGCTGTGTCCGTCTGAGCTGCGCCGCACTCGGTTTGATGATCGCGATGGAGACGGTCATACTCAGATTTATTTTAAGTAACGGAGGAGCAGCGATCACCAAGGACCTGCTCTTTAACCTGTGCGACACTTCCACTCTTTTAGAAATCATAAACAACGATGACAAGTTTGTATCGTGTTCCTTCAGCGGGACTCCGAAGATTGTTGTCCGGAGCAGAGTGAGACTGTGCCGGGCCAAAGAGTGTCCGGGCTGCGGGGACCTCCACCTGTGCAAAGTCTTTCTCCTGTCTGGATCCTGCAAGTTCACTCAGCTCAGGTAAATTATCTGCTTATGTTTTCTAATGATCAGTGGAAGAAGTACTTAGTTTTGTTACTTAAGTAAAAGTACTAATACAGGGGTAAAAGATGTCTTAAAATAAATATATCGTTGTCACACCCACAGGAATAATCTGTCATACTCATCTTTTTCAATAATTTAAAAAACTATACTATATACAGTCATATATATATATATATATATATATATATATATATATATATATATATATATATATATATATATATATATATAGACTGGGCCTGGGCTGATTACAGAATGAGAGGCAGCTGTAGGGAAAGGAGGGAGGTGGCAAAAGGAGGACCGGAACAGAGTGAGAAATGGAACTGGGCTGAAAAGGCAGAACTGTGACAGGTTTAGTCCTGTTAAATCCTGTTTTAGTCCTGGTTTAGTGTCCGGCAATGAGTGGAATTTCCGGGAAAAAAAACTGATATTGCCCAAAATGTGAAAACAGGAAAATACTGCTGTTATTTATTTCAACACGATTTCAACACGATTTCAACACATTTATTTCAACAAAGTAACTGTAATCCAATTACCTCTCACTGAAACAGTAACTGCAACTGAATACAGTTACTCATAATTTGTACTCTGATTATGTAACTCCGGTACATGTAATCCGTTACTCCCCAACACTGTATATGTGTATGACGATTTTTCTATCTATCTGTCTGTCTATTTATTTATTTATCTATATACAATCATTGTTTATTCAAAAATGTCATTCAAACCAATCTAAACCCTGTACACTGTGTTTTAAAGATCACACTTTTGTCAAATTGACTCAGTGTGACTGGAAAAATCCCCCTCTGTTAAAATGTAAACATTATCCATTGATTTTGGTGATATTTTGTTTTGAAAGGGGGTTTTAGGGACAACTTGCCCCGTACCATCCAGGGGCACTTCTCTGGGCTGTGGGTAAAGTTACCGTCATCTAATCAGTTTCATTGATCATTACAAGAAAATTATACTTGTTATTAAAAAATAAAGCAGGTTACTTGTAAATAAAAAAAAAAACAAAACATTTTACTTAAGGTTTAAATTGAAAAATACAAAAATAAAATAAATACAAGATTTGTCTTTAATAATGTCAGTTTAGTTTAAAGTCAAGAAAAAAATATTGAATTGCTATGATTCCGAGTTGTTGTAGCCTGTATCAGTTTCATTTCTCCGTGCTCGCTCTAGTTTCTATTTGCTTATTTCCCTATGCTAATCTCCAGCTGACTTTATGGTCCAGAGCCAGCAAAGTTTTCTACCTTTGCTCTCTGCAGATAAGCATGGTACAGGTGGCACTGCTGGAGAATTGTGATGCACATTAGTTTGGTGCCATACTTACAGTATATTAGTACTTTTAAAGGTGCATTATGTAAGTTTTCTGGTGGGGGACATGCCACCTGCTTGTCTCCATGTTTGAAATGTTTGGTGGTAAACACATATATCTAACATTTATTAATTATGCGTGTTTCTATGACTCAAAAATACAATAATCCTCTCTGTGAATAGGGTTCTTTGTCCACAGATCTGACCTGTCATGTAGCCTATAATTGTCTCCCTTGAGTTAGATTGTTTTAATCTCTACCTGTCTCTAGACAAAGCAATAACATCTCCAAGCAAATTACCTGACAAGTTGTGCAATGCACCTTTAAAGCTGCATTATGTAACTTTTCTGTGGATCATTTGCACCAGATGCTGTTTGTTTAAAGGAAACAAACAAAAACATTTCCTGCCTCTACCCTGGTATTGTTTAATATATTTGCTATTGGCAGATACTTAAAGCCAAAGTACTGACATCGGTATTGAAATAGGAAAAACAGGATCAGTGCTTCTCTGGCCATTTTGCTCAGCCCTGAACAAATGTACTGTTTTTTTTTTATTGTGTCCTGTGTTAGGAGAGGATGTCTGTTTTCTCATGATATGAACTCAGACCACAACGTCCGGGTGCTGAGGGCCAATGGTCTGGAGACTCTGAGCAGGTCTGAGCTGTGCCTGCTCCTGCTCCAGAGTGACCCCACCCTGCTGCCTCAGGTCAGTGCACTCAAAGAGATCAGATTTTACACGGCTTTGTTTTATTGGAGCTGTGGTTGGAGATAGATTGGTTAAGTACAGCAACTTTCTCATATTAGACAAAAAGTCTGGTCCTGCTTCATAGAGGGTTGATTTCCCTGCTAATTTGTGTTGGTTGGAGATTAAATATGCACAACTAAACTTCTACAGAATACTATTTTAATCATCATTATATTGCATATTCTGCGATATTTCACCCTTTAAAAAAATATTTCTGTGTTAAACCACTACATGCCCATTATGTTTATGTAATATAATTTAAAGGTCTTATATTACCAAACTTGACTCTTACAAGCTTTAAATCTCACTGTGAAAAACCGCTCTAAACTCACAAAGGTAACACACACAGCTGCTAAAATCATAGGACTCCCCACACCCAACTTTACAGATCTTAACAACAGGGCCATTGGACGCATTGCACTCTCCATAGAGCAGGACTCCACTCACCCACTACAGGAACATCTCACCCCTCTGCCCTCAGGACTCTGGTACAGGGCGCTCAGGTGCAGGAGGACCCGCTTTGGCAGAACCCTGATGCCCTCGGCCATCACATTTTTGAACAATAGGCCCTGCGGAGTAGCCTGATTCATCAGCTGGTGTCACTTCGTAGAAACCATCTGACTTTACAGTGTTAGAATTCGTTCGCTCGACCTAAGCGAATACTTTTTATCATTTAACCAATCGCTGCTATTTGGCAGTCACGTATGTAATGCGCCACTAACAAGGCTAACTGGTATATTACACTTTTCCCAAATCCTGTAAGAAGAAGGGCAATCACGTCTTTCCCCTTGATAAAATTCATCAAACATTCTCTTTATTCTGGCTTTAAATCCTCAATCTCGGGAATCGCTGCCAACACAGAATGTATGTTTCTTCGCTGATTGGCTGGTGCCTGAACTTGCACTTCCAGGGTTCTTGAAAACCATCTAGTGTATTCTGATTCCTGATGTTGTTGCTGGAGAGCAATGAAATAGAGCGGAGGGACTAGGTGGCACCAGCCTGGCTACCTGCTGAGTGTACTGTAATGTCTACTGTAACGTGTCTTTGTGTGTTGTGTTGTGTTGTGTTGTGTTGTGCTGTGTTTTTTGCTGTGTGTGCCAAATGAGCTCTGTGTGTGTGCAATTGAAAGTCCCCTTGGGGACAATAAAAGTCTAAAGTTTAAAGTCTAAGTCATATTATAATGCTGTTACCTCATAAAAAACATACTTGGAGTTGTGTTTTGTTGCAATCATGTACAGTATATCTCCAAAGCTGCAACTGCTCTGCTCCTTCTTGGGAAGTCTTGAGGTAGTTTTCAAGTTAATGACTACTACCTTTTACTTTTAGTTCAGTAGCGATTGGCAACTCCAGGTCTGAAATCATCCAAATAATTCTAGTGAAGGCATATGGAGGTTAAAAACACAGTGGATTTCCACATGACATCACAAGGTGTAACAGAGTGTTTTCATTTTGGGAAACCCTAAATATGTCAGATTTGTGTGTTTAACGTGTGTGAATGAAACAAGACACAACTCCAGGTCTGTTTTTGGTGAGGAAACAACATTATAATATGTCTTAAAGCTCACAAGAATCCATTTTGTATAATACAGGACCTTTAATACTAAAAATTATTCCTACTTTCAAGCCTTTTTTTCTGACGAATTCTCATTTCTTTGTTAGATTTGCCATGACTACAACAGGGGTTCTGGCTCTAGCGGTCAGTGCAGAGAGGGCTGCCACAGACTGCACATCTGTGAGAGGTTTCAAGACTGCAGCTGCTACAGGAACCATGACTTCTTTGCTCCACAACCTCTCAAACTCCTGCAAGAAAAACAGATCCCCGAGAATCTGATGGGCTCCTTAAAGTCAGTGTGTGTGAACAAGGACGCGCTGAGGTTAGCTGACCAAAAGGCTGGTCGAATATATAGAGGAGGCAACGGAAATATGAGCGATAATTTGTCCAAAAGATCATTTTCTTGTGGGAATCTTCTCGGGGCGGTTGATGCTGACATGGATGGAGTCAGTGCCAGACGATCTAACCAGAGACAAAGAGGTAAATTACTGGTTAGTTCTATAGTATATTTATTAGGGATGTAACTATATCCAAATCTCTCGGTACGATATTATCACGATATACATCTCACGGTATGATATTTATTGCCATATTTTGGAGAGGCTGATATGATTGTAGATGGGACACTTTTTTGCTTTTAAAATACCTTGACAAGATTTTGGTGTGAATTATTTCTGCCATAATCCCAAGAATTCAAGTAAAAAACATATTTCTTCATGTTGTCAGCACTGAATTCAGTCATAGGATATGTAGTTCCCAATGTGTATAAGCTGTTGCTACTATAAAAAACATGTATTTAAGCAAAGGGTTTTGTATTTCGATATATTATGACAGCCCATGGTATTAATCTGACACTTTTCACGATACGATATCACAATATTTCAGTTATTGTTACATCCCTAATATTTATATTTGAGTATTTATAGAGTATTTAAGGGTTGTAGAAATTAATTTAGTTAATTTTTCCTTTTTAAATGTCTTGACAAGATCTTAGAGTGAATCATGACGTTCAGAATAGAAAGTATTTGGATTTAAACGTGCTTCTCAAGTCTTCTCAAGCCCAAGTCAAGTCCCAAGTTACTGACCTTAAAGTCCAAGTCAAGTCCCAGTGTCTTAATCCATTTTATCAAGTCAAGTCTCAAGTCCTAAAAATAGTGACTCAAGTCTGACTCGAGTCCAAGTCACAACTTGCAAGTCCCCACCTCTGGGGAGTGCGCATGGGGGCACCTCCAGCTCCATCAACTCTGGCTCCAATTCACTTCACATTGAAAAATTGTCACCCGGGGGATGACAAATTCATTCTGGTCTTAAAATGTTCGTATTAACGTGCTTTACATCGTCCTGGTGTTTTTATTTCACTATTTTGTCCATAAATAAATTCTTATTTCTAGTATGGAACTCAGCTCCAAATTTATTCCTATTCCTATAACTGCTGGCCTCGTGAGCTTCATTTGACTGGAGCCAAATGTTATGGGTGACATCGCACTCTCTTAGTCCAGTTTTTATACATTCTATGTCCTATATTTATGGTACATGTAATAAACCGAAGCTAACAACTTTCAATTCTCAGATAAAACCGAGATCTGCATGTATTTCATCAAAGGACACTGTAAACATGAAGGTGAGAGAAGTGCGCCCAAAAATATGATTTTGAACTGTTTTTAAAATATTGTAAACTTGACCGTTGTGTTTGCTGACCCACAGATCGCTGTTATAAAGCTCATGACAAGATGCCGTACAGATGGGAGATCAGACGGGGCGGCCAGTGGACTCCTATGGCTGAAAATGAGACCATAGAGAAAGACTACAGTGACCCCCAAAACACATACAGGTGAGTGGACCTGGCACAGCATTTTGAAGTACGATATATTGCTAAAGAAAATATAGACGATAATACTGAATGTGACTGACACTATAAGCCTAAAGCAGCATTTCCCTCGAAAAAGTGTTCGATATGTACAGTAATGTTCATGAGCATGAGCAGCAACACATAAATGAAACACTTAATGAGTAATAGAAGTTATTTATTTAACCCTCTACAGTTGAAATCTTATAGTACTGAACTATAATAATAAAAAAGATAATTTCTGTAATATATTTTCTTTCTGTGCAGCACTACCAGTCCTCCTGTGCATTTTGACACAATGACGTGTGGGTCAGATGAAGTGAGGCGTCTCTCTACTGTGAACTCTGTGCTGCAGCCAGATTTCATCCACACCACAGACTGGCTGTGGTACTGGGAGGACGAGTACGGCACCTGGTACCAGTATGGTGCTGTGGTAAGTGACAGCAGTGTTTCCCGCAGCACTTTATAGTTAAGGAGGCCGCCTTGACAACAAGTGGCCCCCACCTTGACTACGTCCCTCCAAACTACGTGAATACTTGCTAAACTACAGTCGTCGCACTGAGTCTCTGCGTCTCTCACCCCCCTCCCCACGCTCCTCACTTTTTCGGACCACCTTGCCTAACAACTAATCAGCTAAAACTGTTGTGCCGGTTTGCCTCAAGGCACCTGCAGCTACAATATTGTAGTTTAGAATAAAATCAAGCCCATGCTCAATAGCTGATGAAGATCAAAATTTTCATTATGAAATTTATCAGAATATGCTTCTTTTTTTGTTCTTCTTTTGCTGCTATTCTTGGACTTTTGGACTTTTCTTCCACTGTGGGACCATTAAAGTTTATTCTTGTTTCCTTTATTTCAGTCGAGTGAGCATCGCATGGCCAGCATCACCAGCAAAGACCTGGAGGAGATGTATGTGAGCAAGGAGAAGGATGTTGTGGAGTTCTCTGCAGGATCACATAAATATTCAATCAATTTGCAAGGTAAAGCTAAACTGGCTAACTTGTTCTACACATTATCAGTCTGGGATGGCCCTCGCTGAAAGTGACTGTAAAAAGCAGAATGTCATGATGAATATTTAAATCACAGCAGCGGAACAAAATCAAAATCAAGCTTTTGTTACATCCAGTTGAGAGAAAATCCCAGACATCTTCCTTGTCCACAAATGCACATAGAGCTTGCCTTCTGAATGTTTTTTCAAAAACAAAACAATGCTCATATTGATGCTAAAACTTAAGGTTAAGTATGTACATGTCTTCATTCTCTAGTCAAACTATGCAAAAAGAAAAATTAACAGACCAAGACTAACCCAAGTCTAATGTAATACTTAAAATAGACTAGTCTGTTTTGAGTTCAAAAACATTTCTGAACAATGGAGAACTTTGAGGTTTGTCAGTAGATATTGTGATACTGATAATTGTGAGATATATTGTGCAGCCCTAGTCAACAGTACAAAATGTTTCATCAACAAACAGCCATAGTTTCTCTCTCTGTTTTCTCAGACATGATTCAGACAAACTTAAAGTACAACACCAAGAGGCTGGTGAGGAGGAGACCGAAGTTTGTCTCTGCAGCTGAAGTCCAGACCACCAGGTACAGTCAGTGTTGGGACGAATACTTTGAAATTGTGTTACAAAAAACAGAATACCTGCATTAAAATGTATTGTGTAACATTCAGTTACATGGTCCAGTCAGAGTACTGTATTCTGAGTACTTTACAATACTTTTACATTAAGGTACACCACGAGTGAAAAGTTTGGACACACCTTCACACACACCATTCAGTGTTTCTTTCTTTATGTGTATTACCTTCTACATTATGGAATTGTGTAGAAGAGAAAATTTTGTCTTGAGATCTTCACAGTTGCCACCCTTTGCTTTGTCGACAGTGCTGCTTCTATATATTCAAGTACACACAGAAGACATTAAAGTAATCCAACTACATAAGGGGGTATTCCATCAAAGCTGCTCAACAAGTCCAGGCTTATCCTGAAATCTTGAACTGAAACGAGCTGCGCTTTGTGCAATCTCCCAGTGACTCCAGATTAAAGAAGCAACAGCATCACGGAAAATGAGCTCAAAGTGTGATGTTTTTTATGATCTGACTAAACCAGAGAGGCGCCAAAGCACGCACGACAGTTTGATTTGGGACACATTCATTTTGATCCAAGGAACAAGAGGAAAGAAGCAACTCCAGTCGAGGAGTGCACAGAGACAACCCACTGAAAACCAGTCCAGTCCATCCTCAGAGTCCACACAGCGTCTGTGCGTCAAAGCTGCACTGGCTTTCACAACAGTCACACGTGAAAGATCATTTTAATGAAATAATGGCCGTGGAATTTTATATGGATTGTGTCTTTTTGCTAAGTGCAGTGTCCACAGACACTTTTTAAACTATATCAAGCAGCGACAAAAAAAAACATTCTTGGAGACAAAGTTGAAATAATCTGGACAGTTAGCCTGGTCCTGACCAGGTTTGTGTCCATGTGCTTGCAGCGTCACCTTTTGGTGAGACTCTTTGGTGCAGTGGAATAGACGATTTGACGAGCCTGGATTGCTCAAACAGGCCAGGCTTTGGCTTTAGCTCGCTCTATGGAACTCTGCATATATACAGACCACTCCACTTATGCTAATGAAGCCATTCATCTGCACTGAGCTATAAACAGGAACCAGATGTTTAGAAATGTACAAGGTGAAGTTTAGAGAAGTAAGAAACTGTGAACAGCACATGATGGAACTTTTAAAAATAAATGTATTATTGTTTCTCTCGTAGAAAACGTCCAGCAAACTCTACTGCTGTACCAGACTACTGGGACAAGACACAGATCTCCCAAACAGGATACAAGGTAAAAAAAAAAACATATTTGTCCATGAAAGTCCAGCTGAATGCATAGACAAGGTCTGTTGTATATGTAGACTGGTAGTGTAGATATCAGTTTTAACAGTCACAGTCTCAAACATGTTCAGTGTCACTGATTGTGGCTCATAATTTATTATATTTCTATTATTTTTCCACATATTTCCTTGCAGAGAGTGATTGTGCCGCCCTCCTCAGACGAATATAAAGAGATCCAAGAGCTTTTCTCTCAAACCATGACGACTTTTAACATTATCCAAATCGAGAGGATTCAGAACAAAGCACTGTGGGAGGCCTTCCAGCTGTATGTATTTTTATTGTATATTTAACTTGTAATTGTAAGTTAATAATTAAAATAATAGTCAAAGAGGGGTATTGTGCAAAATTTACTTTTTGGGTTAGGGTTTCTAAATGTTTTTGTCATCAAAAACATGCCTGAGGAGATTTTATGCCATTCATGCATGTTAGAATAATATAGCAATCTCTCCCGGGCCCTATTTGAACCTTCACTACAGTTAGCAGTACGATTCTGTCCAAGACTCAACTAAGAGGCCTACGTCATCTATGCTCCAGCACAGCAATTCTCTATAGATATACAAAAGCATGATACAAAACAATTCACTATAACTGAATATACTGGTGAATATAGCATTATATATTTTGTGTTTGCAATGAATACCCCATAGAAGTGTAGTAGATTAAAAGATTTTGTTTGCTATTGTGTTATAAGGCAAAAGATTCACATGAAGAACAACAACGGCAGAAAACCAGTGTTGGAGAAGAAGCTTTTCCATGGAACAGATCCTAAGTTTGTGGACACTATTTGTGCCACAAACTTTGACTGGAGAGTGTGTGGAGTCAATGGGACGTCTTTTGGCCAAGGTGAGTTATTCAAGACAAGGCGAGGCAAGTTTATTTGTATAGCACAATTCATACACAAAGTAAGTCAAAGTGCTTTACAAAATAAGAAATACAAAATAAGAAATACATCACAATAAAACATACATAATCATGATAAAATTAAAAAGAGAGAGAGAAGAGTGCAGAATGAAACACTTTCAGTCATGTGCAGCTAAACAGAACAGTTTTGAGCCTGGATTTAAACAGCGTCACAGAAGAGTCTGTCTCACATGTTCAGGAAGACTGTTCCAGGTTTTAGCTGCATGAACCTGAAACGCTGACTCCCCTTGTTTAGTTCCTGACTCTGGGCACCAGCAGGAGGCCGGTCCCTGAGCTCCTCAGAGTGCGAGATGGTTCATATGACACTAACATGTCACAGATGTACTTTGGTGCTCGGCCATGGAGAGACTTGTACAAGCAGAGCTGCTTTAAAGTCTCTGAGGCACAGGAAGCCAGTGCAGAGACCTGAGCACAGGACTTATGTGCTCGTACTTCCTAGTTCGAGTAAGGACCCGAGCTGCAGCGTTCTGGATGTTCTGCAGCGTCTCACAGCTCGTTTGGAGAGACCAGTGAGCAGGACAGTACAGTAGTCTAACCTACTGGAGACAAACACATGAATAAGTCTCTCCAAGTCTGCTTTAGACAGTAAACCTTTGATTTTTACTATGTTTTTAGGTGGTAAAATGCTACAGATGTTATTGATTTGATGTGGCTGTTAAAATCCAAGTCTGAGTCCATTATTACCCCGAGATTTCTTGCCTGATTTGAAGGTTTCAAAGAGAGAGAGGCTGGAGGTGACTGCTGACACTGTCTCTTTGTTTCTGTGGGTCAAAGTCTATGACTTCTGTCTTGTCTGAGTTTAGCTGGAGAAAGTTGTTTTGCATCCACACACTGTGCTGACTATGTGCATCCACTAGGGGGACCCAAAGCTTAATGTTTAGCCTGAATCAATCTGTGTCTGGCCAATCAAACAAACAAACATGACTGTTTACAAAGGAAAAGGTGAGAAAGATAGATTTTGTTCTTGGATGAGTTGTGTTTTTGTTTCATTCACACATGTTGAACACACAAACCCTGCATATTTAGGTTGAGTTCTTTTTTCAGATAGAAAACACTATGCTCCACCTTGTGATGTCACACAAAACACAACTCCAGGTTTTAATGAGCTCACAAGAGTCAATATGCATACTATAGTACCTTTTAAGTTGAATTTTAGTGAAAATTCAGTACAACTGTTTAAGTTTAATGATCTTTCACTTTCTAATTCCAGGAAGCTACTTTGCCCGGGACGCCTCCTACTCCCACCGCTACACTGGAGACTCCGACCCACGTTCCATGTTCGTGTCTCGAGTTTTGGTCGGAGAATTCACCAAAGGTTCTTCAGAGTACAGACGCCCTCCTTCTAAAGACGGAGGAGACGTGAACCTGTTTGACAGCTGTGTGAACAACATCACCACGCCATCTATTTTTGTCATATTTGAGAAACACCAAATATATCCCGAATACTTGCTGCAGTATGAACCAAAGAGCTCAAGTGAAATACAGTTAAACAATACACTTCTAAAAATAAGACACCTAAACAGTGCCAGGTTGTCTCATCGTAACACTGGCATTGCAGATTCTGTCTCAGTGCCAACTTCAGCAACCACCACACTGGTATCAACTCCATTCTTATCAGCACTGCAACTGCAATCAGAAACAAGGCCTCCTATACCGAGAAAACCATTACTTAAACATGTGATATCAAATCCTACATCACAACAGGAACAACTATCAGAAGCAACAGAAACAAATACCACTTTAACAAGAATGAAACATCTAATATCAAATCTCAGATCACAACAGGAACAACAATCAGAAGCAACAGAAACAAGGTCCACTATAACCAGAAAACCATTAATTAGACAAGTAACTACATCAGCTGGAGATTTAGATGTAGCCTCGTGGAGAACCGCCATAGAAAAGCCAAAACCAGCGTCTTATAGTGAGCGTAACCTTCGAACTGAAGAGGCAGCCTCGTGGAGAACCGCCGCCATAGAAAAGCCAAAACCAGCGTCTTATAGTGAGCGTAACCTTCGAACTGAAGAGGCAGCCTCGTGGAGAACCGCCGCCATAGAAAAGCCAAAACCAGCGTCTTGGAGTGACCGTAACCTTCGAACTGAAGAGGCAGCCTCGTGGAGAACCGCCGCCATAGAAAAGCCAAAACCAGCGTCTTGGCGTGACCGTAACCTTCGAAATGAAGAGGCAGCCTCGTGGAGAACCGCCGCCATAGAAAAACCAAAACCAGCGTCTTATAGTGAGCGTAACCTTGCCTGTTCTGACCCAAAACCTGTTGTTATTCCGAGTTGTTTCACCTCCTCACTGCATCCTTCTCAATCAGTTGTTCCACCGAGTCAATCCTCTACTTCATCATTTGCGGATTTGCTGGAATGGGCAAAAAAAAATATGGGTTAAAGTGCGTGTAGCAGATTAAACCACACATTTTACTAAAGCAAAGTCGTCATTGTGTTTCTAGAGCCCATATTACATTATTATATTACATTACATTATAGTCAACTTTTTTTCTTTTTTGTGTTTATTAAATTGGTGTTCGCTAAAAAAAAATAAAGTCTGTGTGCAACCTCCGTTCTCCACAGATCTGACCTGGAATTTGGGCTAATAATGCCACCTGTCAGTATCTAGAGATCTAGAAACGCACAGACAGATGTTAAATGCCTGTTGAACATTTCAGGCAAAGCAATACGTATCTATGGAAAGAGGCATGTGCCAGTCCTTCCACAGAAAAGCTATGTAAATAATATAATGGTTAAGTAATAAATGGGAAAACTTAAAAAAAAAAAAAAAAAAAAGGTGTGCTTTGTAAAAAGTGAAATGGTAATACTAATAAGAATAAATAAATAAATAAATGTGTATTTTGATAGTAAAAATGTAATTTGCTTATAAAACCTTTATGGTGTTTTCTGTATGGAATTTTTATTTTTCAAAATACTTGTTCTTGTAAAACACTTGTATTTACTCAGGAACCTGCCATTTCATTTATTTGTTTGTTTCATATTTGACCTTTGGCATAATTCATAAAATGCTTTCATTTCTTTTTTATTTACCAATACTGATAAAGAATGTTATGGATCTTTTTTATGTAAGTGATTGAAAAGGTCTGCAGCACTTGTACTTGTAGAGGATTGTTTTGATTGTCGATTGTGTGAGTCAGAATACATGGAATTGTCTCGCCAAAAAAAAAGAAAATCGGATTTTCTACAAGAAGCATTGTGTGGGTTTCCCTGTCAAATCCAGAATCATCTCTCTGGTTCATTCCCTTTAAGTATTTCTTCTAGAAAGTCTTTTGCCACATTTGGTGGCACGTATGGTATAAAACATCTGTGTCAAATGTCCAGAGCTAGCTAGTATTGTCACTTTAAAGCATTGTTTCCCAAAGACTGGGTCACGACAGATATTTTTGGGGGGTTGCCTTGTCACGATCTGCATGTACCTTAGGTTTGCAATATACAGTTCTGCCTGTACGCCTGATCTGCTGCTGCCCTCTCCTCCTGCACCCTGGACTGAAACACGCAACAAAAACGCCCACCTGTCTCATTAGAAATGTTGAAATGTTAAGGCATGCTTTGCATAATTTGTCATCTTTTTGTAATAATTTTATTGTTCCAATATTGCTGCTTCAATTGAGTGTTGAAAGGAAAAGAAATGTTCTACATTTAATGTCCAAATAGGCGACTTATAGAACCTTTTATTGCTGCTTCAATTACGTTTTTCATTGTTTAAAACTTGAGAAATATTAATTGTTCAGAGAGACAATAAAATATCCTCATTAATGTTCAGTAATGGTCAGATCCTCCTTTATTTTGTGATTTATGAATAATGTCTATTGACTTGGGTCACAAACATTTGTGACTTTGAAAATATGGGTCCCCAGAAAAAAGTTTGGGAAACCCTACTTTAAAGGAGATTTATAACGTAACAGTGTCCCTAAATTATTGGACATGATTTATGATTATAATTTGGTGTTTGGTTCAGAATACAGCTATCAGAAAGAAGAATGAGCCTCACATGACTCTTTCATTTGGGTTTGCAGTTTCAATGATGAGTTAAACACAAATGGCCTCTTTCTTATCCGAATCCTCAAGACCTAAACCCTCGCGCCTGCATCATTAGTCAGTGCTCTGTCCTAGTGCCACCGGATTTCATTTCTGTCCAGCCACTAGGTCAGGAATCGGAATACACTAGACGGTTTGCAAGAACCCCGCAAGTGCAAGTTCGGGCACCAGCCAATCAGCAAAGAGCCATACTTTCTGTGTTGGCAACGATTGATGAGGATTTAAAGCCGGAACAGAGAGAATGTTAGGTGAATTTTATCAAGGGGAAAGACATTATTGCCCTTCTTCCATTGGGATTTGGAAAAAGCTCAATATATCAGTTAGGCTCGTTAGCGGTGCATTACATACGTCACAACCAAATATCAGCAGTTGGTTAAAAAGTACCTGCCTACCGTCGAGCAAATGAATTCTAAACCACAAAGTGAAGAAAGCAGGTTACATGATGTTCCTTTAAAGAGTTAAATTTGATGGTTTTAAACTTTACCCTTTCTCTCTTTGCATCTGTTTCCTTCTACTTCATTACAGTGAGGTTTGTCTTTAGCCATCAGACCCACAGCTGAGCCCTGCAGGACGCACAGCCCCAGTGACGCTCAACATCCTGTGACATTCACCCACATCTACATCTGCTTCCTGTTTGGACCAGGTTCATTATAACCAAGAGGTCTGGAGGCTGCGTATACACTCACGCACTTCATCAGAATCAGGACAAAACTGAGACTAAAGGTGCGTTCAGACTTGTCCAGTTTAGTCCAGATGTAGACTTAGTTTAATCCTGTTCTAATCCTAGTCTAGTCTTGTATTAGTTCTGAATTTTACCCAGTTTTAATGCGGTCTGCACCCTAAAGTTTGGACATACATTCTCATTTATTCTCTATTTTTTTCTTCGTTATGTTTATGCAAAGAAAATATCCACCCTTTGCTTTGTCGACAGCGCTGCAAACACTTCTCACAATGAGCTTTAGGATGAAATTTATTATTAATTTGTACGACCATAAATTAAAACCAGAATTCTTCTTACTTTTTCATTCGTATTACTGTTTACTTTGTATGTTCATAAATGATAAACTTGAGTGCCTTCTTCATCACTATTGTTAGGTTTGTAAACGAGCCATAAACGAAGATATATTTCTGCGTGTATGTACTATATATCTAACGTATATGTGTATGTATGTATGTATGTTTGTGTGTGTGTATATACATATATATATATATATTTATGTATATACTGTATATGTTTGTGTGTATATTTATGAAAAGTATACGACAGGTAGCACTCTAAAGGTGAAGGGGGAAAAAAGCGTCAACCTTTTGATAATGTAAAACAATTGTGGTATACATGATAAGATTTTTTAAACTTCATCCTACTCCTTTTGTAGCCTGATTCATCAGCCATTCATCAGTTTCACTTCATTTCACTTCGTAGAAACCATCTGATCTTGCAGCAGTAGATTTCGTTAGCTCGACGGTAGGTGGGTACTTTTTTATTTAACCAGTCACTGCTATTTGGTAGTCACGTATGTAATGCGCCAATAACAGGGCTTACTGCTATATTAAGCTTTTCCGAAATCCCGTAGGAAGAAGGACAATAACGTCTTTCCCCTTGATGAAATTCGCCAAACATTCTCTTTGTTCCAACTTTAAATCCTCGATCTCGGGAATCGTTGCCAACACTGAATATATGGCTCTTCGCTGATTGGCTGGTGCCCGAACTCACACTTCTGGGGTTTTTGCGAACCGTCTATTGTATTTTGATTCCTGACCTAGTCGCTGGAGAGAAATGAAATTGAGCGGAGACACTAGGTGGCACCAGCCTGGCTACTCCTTTTGAGCACCAGGTCCCAAATATCTACATGTACATATCCTTTTTTTTTAACCTTGCTCAAACAAATAAATAAAATAAAAATAAATACAATTTCACAGTTGTGCCTCGTCAGGGTCAAGAAATTCCAAAAGTGCAAAGCTGTGATCAAAGCAAAGGTTGAGTGTTTTTAAAATTTTTATTTCCACATTTATAGATTTGATGCCTTCAAAGAGACTCTACAATGTAAATAATCTTGGCAATAAAGAAGAAAAATAAATGAAAAAGTATGTGTCTGGACTAGGTCAGGCTGAAAACTGGAAACATTACAAACTGAACCTTGAGTATTCTCCAGGATTCACCTTGTAGACACACAACAACATGACTAAAGTTAAGGCGGTGTACCTGTGCCCCGTTGCCCACAGCTAAAAGCATCTTGGCATCTTCCTCAAACGAGTGAATCACATTTCCCTTATGAGAGCTCATGAATAAAATATGACGCAGTTGTTTGGGTTTTGTTGGAGAAGGATTGTGCTGAGTCGATGGATCTGTGCCAACGACAGTAAAAGCAGCAGTGGCAGTGTCCCAGGTGAAAGACGGGGGCAGGGGCTGCTTTCATTATTTGGCTTGTTTTAAATGTGAAATACGAACTCTGTGGTGGTCAGCAGTTATGTTTAGATCCGAAATTAAAGGTGCACGGTCACTTTTCTGGTGAAGGGTATGATGTTATAGTTTTGCCAGGAATGTTCCATGATAGATTATATTATATACTCATCTATCTCAGTGGAAACAATCAGTACAAATTTGTTTTTTGAAGGTATTTAGCAATTTAAGGAACTGTATGTGAGATCTGGATTTTAATATTTGCTGTCCATATACTAAGAATGAGAAAAAAAAAAACTTGAATCTTCCCTTTAAATGCAGGGGAGGGCAGTACCTTTTTAAAACTGTAGAGTGCAGACTACATACAGTTCCTTTAAAACAGTGTTTCCCAATTTTTTTTCCTAGGGGCTCATATTTTAAAAGTTACAATCCTTCACCACCCAAGTCAATAGACAATATTCGTAAATCATAAAATAAAGGTGGATTTGTCCATTATTGAACATTAATGAGGATATTTTATTGTTGACTGAGTGATCGTGTCTTTCTGAACAATTTGTATTACTCAAGTTTTAAACAATGAAAAACAGTCATTGAAGCAGCAATAAAAGGATCCATAAGTTGCCTATTTGGACATTAAATGTAGCCCTTATGTAACAGATAATACTCCCTACAACTGTACAACAACTCGTCCTTATGTAACAGATAATACTCCCTACAACTGTACAACAACTCATTTTTATGTAACAGATAATACTCCCTACAACTGTACAACAACTCACCCTTATGTAACAGATAATACTCCCTACAACTGTACAACAACTCGCCCTTATGTAACAGATAATACTCCCTACAACTGTACAACAACTCGTCCTTATGTAACAGATAATACTCCCTACAACTGTACAACAACTCATTTTTATGTAACAGATAATACTCCCTACAACTGTACAACAACTCACCCTTATGTAACAGATAATACTCCCTACAACTGTACAACAACTCACCCTTATGTAACAGATAATACTCCCTACAACTGTACATCAACTCACCCTTATGTAACAGATAATACTCCCTACAACTGTACAACAACTCACCTTATGTAACAGATAATACTCCCTACAACTGTACAACAACTCACCCTTATGTAACAGATAATACTCCTTACAACTGTACAACAACTAATTTTTATGTAACAGATAATACTCCCTACAACTGTACAACAACTTGTCCTTATGTAACAGATAATACTCCCTACAACTGTACAACTCACTCTTATGTAACAGATAATACTCCCTACAACTGTACAACAACTCACTTTTATGTAACAGATAATATTCCCTACAACTGTACAACAACTCACCCTTATGCAACAGATAATACTCCCTACAACTGTACAACAACTCACCCTTATGTAACAGATAATACTCCCTACAACTGTACAACAACTCACCCTTATGTAACAGATAATACTCCCTACAACTGTACAACAACTCACCCTTATGTAACAGATAATACTCCCTACAACTGTACAACAAACTCACCCTTATGTAACAGATAATACTCCCTACAACTGTACAACAACTCACCCTTATGTAACAGATAATACTCCCTACAACTGTACAACAACTCACCCTTATGTAACAGATAATACTCCTACAACTGTACAACAACTCATTTTATGTAACAGATAATACTCCCTACAACTGTACAACAACTCACCCTTATGTAACAGATAATACTCCCTACAACTGTACAACAACTCACCCTTATGTAACAGATAATACTCCCTACAACTGTACAACAACTCACCCTTATGTAACAGATAATACTCCCTACAACTGTACAACAACTCACCCTTATGTAACAGATAATACTCCCTACAACTGTACAACAACTCACCCTTATGTAACAGATAATACTCCTTACAACTGTACAACAACTCAATTTTATGTAACAGATAATACTCCCTACAACTGTACAACAAACTTTTTTATGTAACAGATAATACTCCCTACAACTGTACAAAACTCACCCTTATGTAACAGATAATACTCCTACACTGTACAACATGTAACAGATAATACTCCCTACAACTGTACAACAACTCACCTTATGTAACAGATAATACTCCTACAACTGTACAACAACTCACCCTTATGTAACAGATAATACTCCCTACAACTGTACAACAACTCACCCTTATGTAACAGATAATACTCCCTACAACTGTACAACAACTCACCCTTATGTAACAGATAATACTCCCTACAACTGTACAACAACTCACCCTTATGTAACAGATAATACTCCTTACAACTGTACA